TATCCCCTCCCTGTAAATATAATAATATATAATATAATATCCCCTCCCAGTAAATATAATAATAATATAATATAATATCCCCTCCCTGTATATATAATATAATATCCCCTCCCTGTATATATAATATAATATAATATCCCCTCCCTGTAAATATAATAATAATATAATAATAATAATGTTATCCCCTCTCTGTAAATATAATATAATATCCCCTCCCTGTAAATATAATAATAATAATATAATATCCCCTCCCTGTAAATATAATAATAATAATAATATCCCCTCCCTGTATATATAATATAATATCCCCTCCCTGTAAAGATAATAATATAATATCCCCTCCCTGTAAATATAATATAATATAATATAATATCCCCTCCCTGTATATATAATATAATATCCCCTCCCTGTAAAGATAATAATGTATATCCTCCTGTAAATATAATATAATATCCTCCTTGTAAATATAATATTATATTATAATATATCCTCCTGTAAATATAATAATAACAACTTAATAATATATTATAATAATATAATATCCTCAGTAAATATAATATGTATAATATAATATCCCCTCCCTGTATATATAATATAATATCCCCTCCCTGTAAAGATAATAATAATATAATATCCCCTCCCTGTAAATATAATATAATATCCCCTCCTTGTAAATATAATAATATAATATAATATATCCCCTCCCTGTAAATATAATAATAATAATATAATATCCCCTCCCTGTAAATATAATAATATAATATCCCCTCCCTGTAAATATAATATAATATCCCCTCCCTGTAAATATAATAGTATAATATAATATCCCCTCCCTGTAAATATAATAATAATAATATTATATCCCTTCCCTGTAAATATAATAATATAACATAATATCCCCTCCCTGTAAATATATAATAATAATATAAAATATCCGCTCCCTGTAAATATATAATATAATATAACATCCGCTCCCTGTAAATATATAACAATAATATAATATCCCCTCCCTGTAAATATATAATAATAATATAATATATCCGCTCCCTGTAAATATATAATATCCGCTACCTGTAAAAATATAATAATAATATAATATCCGCTCCCTATAAATATATAATATAATATCATATCCGCTCCCTGTAAATATATAATATAATATCCGCTCCCTGTAAAAATATAATAATAATAATAATATAATAATATCCGCTCCCTGTAAAGATATAATATAATATCCGCTCCCTGTTAAAATATAATTATAATAATATCCGCTCCCTGTAAATATAGAATATAATATAAAATCCGCTCCCTGTAAATATAATAATAATAATATAATATCTGCTCCCTCTAAATATATAATAATAATATAATAGCCGCTCCCAGTAAATATATAATATAATATCCGCTCCCTGTAAATATATAATGATATCCGCTCCCTGTGTGTCATACACCTCAATAATAATATAATATCCGCTCCCTGTGGGTTTATATATTTATATATATTAATGTTATCCTCTCCCTGTGTGTGTTTATGTATCAATAATAATATAATATAATAATAATATAATATCCGCTCCTTGTGTGTGTGTTTATTTATATATATATATATATATATATATATATATATATATCTCAACAATAATAATATAATAATTATAATAATATAATATCCGCTCCCTGTGTGTTATACACCTCAATAATAATAATATAATAATACGATCTGCTCCCTGCGTGTTATACACAATAATTATAATAATATAATATCCGCTCTGTGTGCTATACACAATAATATAATATGCACTCCCTGTGTGTTATACACCTTCAATAATAACATAATATCCGCTCCCTGTGTGTTTATATACCTCAATAATAATATAATGTAATAACAATAATAATATCCGCTCCCTGTGTGTTATATACCTCAATAATAATAATAATAATATAATATCCGCTCTGTGTGAGTCATACACCTTAATAATAATATAATATCCACTCCCTGTGTGTTATATACCAAAATAATATTATAATATCCGCTCCCTGTGTTATACAATAATAATATAATATCCGCTCCCTGTGTGTCATACACCTTAATAATAATAATAATAATAATAATAATAATATAATATCCGCTTCCTGTGTGTTGTTCACCTCAATAATATCATAATAATAATAATAACAATAATATCTCTGTGTATCATACTCCTTAATAATATAATATTATATCCTTTCCCTGTGTGTATCACATCATATACCTCAATAATAATATAATATCACACATCATACACCATACTACTACTACTAATAATAATATATCACCTTCCTGTGTGTCATACACTCCAATAATATAACAATACCCTCTCCCTGTGTACATACACCATACTAATATTAATATCATACACCGTAGCAATAATAATATAATATCACCTTCCTGTGTACCATACACTCTAATTATAATAATAATAATAATAGATATTATCTCCCTGTGTATCATACACCCTAAAATATTCTCTCTGTATTTATCATACACCCTAATAATATAATAATAATAATATCCTTTCCCTGTGTACACTTCATACACCCTAATATATGAATAAATAATACTATTCTCTCTCTATGTACACATTATACACCATAATATGCTCTCCCTGTGTGCACATCATACAGCCCAATAATAATATCTCCCTGTGTACGTGCACCCCAATAAAAATATCCTCTCCCTGTGTACATGCACCCCAATAATAATATCCTCTCCCTGTGTACATGCACCTCAATAATAATAATAATAATAATAATGTATCATCTACCTGTGTACACATCATACACCATACCAATATATCCTCTCCTGTGTACACTCATACCCTAATAATATAATATGAAATCCCTGTGTACACATCATATACCCTAATAATATAATATAGTATGAAATCCCTGTGTACGCATCATATAACTCAATAATAATAATATTCTCTCCTTGTGCACACATAATATACTCCAATTATAACACTACCATCGTGTAATCCAATAATAATGCTATTTCCTGAACACAATTCAAATACCCCCAATACTTACACTCCCTCTTTGTGCACACATCATCTAATAAAATAGTAGCACCCTTTCCCTGTGCTCACATAATATACCCCACAATTAATGTTCCCTGTGCACATAAAAAAATACCATATTAATGCTATTCTACTCTCTGTACTCACAACCTTTAGCTCAGTGATACAATTTCCCTCCCTTTGCATACATCATGCATGTCAACAAAGACATATTCTGACCCATCTAGGTTTCCCTGAACAGTTTATGGCCTTGCTAAGGGCTATGTATAGCAATGTAAGGGCACAGGTTATACAACCAAAACTATACACCACTCCACTGATGAAACAATTGATCCGGGAGATGGAGGCATGGGACATACCTATCTCGTGGATAGGAAGAATTCATGCCGTAAAAATTAATGTCTTGCCTAGGATCCTCTTCTTGTTCCAGGTGCTGCCCATCCTCGTCTCCAGATCACACTTACAGCCCCTACAGCAAGCCATTGGGTCCTTTGTATGGCAAAATAAAAGACACAGAATTTCAAGATATATCTTACATAGGCCAAAGACGAGGGGGGAACTGGGCCTACCTAACCTATATTACTATTATATAGCAACTCAGCTGCACAGGTAGCGATGTGGCTCCCCCCACACCCCCCAACTCCTTAAGAGTGTTGGATTCCTCCAAACACAAGTTTTACTTAGCGTCTAACCCGTCCCCTCTTATTCCATACCTACGCAATAGGGCTTTCGCCCCCGGAATGGCAGCCAGAGAATTCAAAAACCTGGAGCGGATAGGGTTACAACGCATCTGCCAATTATACCAATTATCCCTTGCGATACGTGGAAGAGCTGTGCTTTGCCTAAGGCAGTGACTCTCGTCTTGTATTCATACACCAACCTGAGGTCCAGCAATTCACCTTCATTCCCATTGAAGTGACTTTGGAAATCCCCAAATCCCGAGTCTTTACTTTTCGAGTTATAGCTAATATTTCATTGGTTGTTTATGTGATAATATTTCTTTTAATCTTTTGACCTAATGGAATGATGCCTGTGAAATAAATAAGACAGTGTGTGAAAGGGTAGTTTCTGTGTTTTGGCATATTTTAAAGTCAACGATTGGACATGGCTTTAAACTTGCTGTCATGTGATTGGCTTTCAGTGTGTACAGTATTGAACATATTTAAAAGAAAAAAAATGACCGTAACAAATGGCTGTGCAGATACAGCAGTGCATTATATGGCTAAGTGGGTTATTTCATGCTATGGTTTGATAATGCCCAGACAGACATGGAGCCTCGAACTCCTGCTGCTGGACTACTATTGAATATTGAGAACTCTGAGATCTAACTGGCTGCTAGAAAAATTAGATTGGCAGATGAATTGGTCCATAGAAGCAGTGATGACATCACGCTTGTTTTGTCTGTCTTTGCATTAGGCCATGTGTTTCTGTCTCAGTATCTATAAACTGTCTGGCTGACACTGTTCCAGCCTGGGTTTGAGTCAATGATACAGACGCCTCTCTCCTCCCAGCCTGACTCTGGGTGTGGCTGCCAGTTACTCTGTACTTTAACCCAGGCTAGGCTACAAAGTGGCTTTAGGTCTGTCTGTCAATGCATTGGCTGAGAGCAGTGCGATCACTGACCACTCCATGCATTAATTGCCTTACACCTTGCACAATTACAGGCAAAGTAATGGCTGCTCCCTGCAGCGGTTTGCTGATTTTACTGACAAATCAGATAATTACAGCAGAGTTAAATAGTGGTTAAAAGGACAGAACAATCTAAGTAAAATTGTTACTTTTTGGAGGTTTTGTGCTTGAACTTTGTGTGTTTGCAAATAGATAAAAAAATTTATGGATATGAATTAGTGATAAAGAATAAATGAGAATAGTCTGTATAGTCTGCTGTTATTAAGAATATTAATTATTGAGAGTAAAATGCACACTCTTTGTCATAGTAACCCTTCATTGCGTGGTCCTCACCACCTCCACCCAAAAAGAAACTTTAAAAAACAAACACCCAAATAATAAAGTTAATACCTCTGTTCTGGCACAGTGGTGAACATCTCTCCCTACGATCATCCTTCGCTGCCGGGGGGGGTAGACTGTGCCTCCATCAGACGCCTGTTGCTGACAACAAACGCCCAATATGCATGGAATTGATATTAGTAAGCCCGGAATTCTAGTTCTGCAATGGTGTGTCTGGAGGTGGAGTTAACCTTTCTAGCAGCAGGTGGTTTGATTCAGTATGTGCAGTGTTTGATAAGCCCTTCAAATCACTGAAGGGCTTATCAAACTGTTCATGGAGCTTGGAATAACTCTTTAAAGGAACTGTTTGGGAACCATAACCGCTTGAACAAAATTAAGTTGTTTTGGTTCACAGAGTCCCCTGGTGCTGGCTTACCTTTAATGGTGAAACCTTTCTTGAACGTTTTTAACCCTAATGTCTGTGTTCCAGCACCAGATCTCTCTGCCCCTTTTTCTCAAAAGCGATGCTGCTGATTAACTGAGAGCGGTCAGCTAATACTCTCAGCTAATTAATGAATCAGTGACTTACCATTCATAAAACCAACTTGGAAAAAAGTATGTTTCATTTCAAGCCATTTTTTTTTTTTTAAAATACACGGCTTGGTCTACCTAGTCTCATAATCGTTTATATTATGGATACTAATATGACACTTAAGTCACCTAAACAACTTTAGTTTAATTAAGCAGTTTTGGAGTATAGCTCGCACCACGTTTTTCTGCTCTATTCTCTGCCATTTAGGAGTTAAATCACTTTTGTTTCTGTTTATGTAGCTCTAGCCACACCTCCTGTGACTGACACAGCCTGTATAAAAACAAAATAGTTTAAAGGATCACTATAGGGTCAGGAACACAAACATGTGTTTAGGTGGCTTGCTCCCCCTTAGTCCCCCTATAAAAGTTTAAAACTTGCCTTATTTCCAGCGCCGCGCAGGTCTACCGGCGCTGGCTTTGCCCCCTTTGTGATGACATCAAAATAGCCGATTTTTAGCCAATCCAATGCTTTCCCGTGGGGAAAGCATTGGATTGGCTAAAATCGGCACGGGGTGGAGCCAAATGCCATTTTGGCCAATCAGGACCTCCTCATATAGATGCATTGAATCAGTGCATCTCTATGAGGAAAATTCAGCATCTCCATGTAGAGCGTGGGGACGCTGAACGGCAGGGCTGCCTACTGTGCAGCACTGAGCCAGGAAGCACCTCCTGTGGCCATCTGAGGAGTGGCCACTTAGAGGTGTCCCTAGGGGTAATGTAAACACTGCCTTTTAACTGAAAAGGCAGTGTTTGCATAAAAATGCCTGAAGGGAGCTATTATATTTACCAGAACAACTACATTAAGCTGTATACTATACATTAAGCTGTAGTTGTTTTGGTGACTATAGTGTCCCTTTCATTTTCAATCAGATGTTACTTTCTTTAAAAGTTTTTATCTCCTGCTCTGTAAATTGAACTTTAATTGCACACTGGTGGCTCCTGCAGGGTCTAGCAAGCTATTAACAGAGCAAGAGATAACATAATTTGAAATAAAGGAAGCGTAAACATTAGATGACTCTTTACAGGAAGTCACATGCAGGAAGGTTTGACTAGGACTGCATAAACAAAGTGATCTAACTCCTAAAGGGCAGAGAATTGAGCAGCGAGACTGCAGAAGAGTGTTACATACACAAAAACTGCTTCAGTAAGCTAAAGTTGTTTTGGGGACTATAGTGTCCTTTAAGTGACTAGTCCTCCGCTCATGACAATCTCTCTTACAGCTCCAACCAATTTGGAAATAAATAAGAGCCTTATAAATGTTTTTTGTTTTGAAGTGAGAGAATTTATAGATCCTGTATAAAACACAATGTATGCGGTGTGTAAATATAGTCAGGGTTACTCCAAAATTACTCTAAATTTTCACAAATTGAATCTGAATTGGAAAAACTGAGGCAAACATTGCTGTGAAAAAGTTCTCAACTCTATAGTAATGCTATGTACCGTCTCTTTAATACTTTTGCCACCATTTTGCTATTCCGTTTTAATTCCTGTGTTTAGTGAATAACACTGTTTATTAAATCACTGTATGCATTTTTTATATGCCATGAAATATCCCAATTCAAACTGATACTGTAAAAAAACATTTACCATGTATACATTACACACACAAGATAAAATTACAGTATTTAAAGTTTATAGACACTATATAAAATCACAATGTACACATTGAATGGACATTATATAAGTGATCACTATCAATGCATTATTGCTATGTTTAGTATTTAGTTACTTGTAACAGATTATAAGATCTATTTGTGTCCTGCACTTTAGACCCCAAGCTCGAACTCCAGGATGAGTGTGGAGGCGACAGGAAAGCCCCTCAAAGTGGGCTCCAGAGTGGAGGTGATCGGGAAGGGACATCGAGGGACAGTGGCTTATGTAGGGTCTACCCTATTTGCCACAGGAAAATGGGTGGGGGTCATTCTCGATGAGTCCAAGGGAAAGAATGATGGCACGGTTCAGGGCAAGAGATACTTCAACTGCGAAGAGAATCATGGGATATTTGTCCGACAGTCACAGGTAATAAGATATCCAGTGCTCTAATCTTTTACAAGGCATTGTTTATTGTGCCCCCGATGCTTAAAAGGAAAGTCAAGTTGAAATCAATGTAATTTATGTTTATAAAAACACTACAGTGCACTGTAGTGGTTATGGTGCCATGATTTTAAACTGGGATCCTCTTGGTGCCGCTCACTGCCCTTTCCCTATCAGTCTTATGAGCTTTTGTTGGCTCTCCTGAGCTAAGCCAATGAGTCAAGCTTTGCACCGCCAGACTTAAAGGGACACTATAGGCACTAAAGCAACTTGAGCTCCTTGAAGCAGTTTTAGTGTATAGATCATGCCCCTCCAGTCTCACTGTTTCATTATCTGCCATTTAGGAATTAAATCCCTTTGTTTATAGGCACGCCTCCCTAAATTGTGATCTACACAACCTTCCTAAACTCTTCCTGTAAAGCGAGCTCTAATGTTAAAGGACCACTATAGGCACCCAGACCACTTCAGCTTAATGAAGTGGTCTGGGTGCCAGGTCCAGCTAGGGTTAACCCTTTTTCCTATAAACATAGCAGTTTCAGAGAACCTGCTATGTTTATATTAGGGTTAATCCAGCCTCTGGTTGCTGTCTCATTGACAGCCGCTAGAGGCGCTTCCGCGCTTCTCACTGTGAAAATGACAGTGAGAAGACGCCAGCGTCCATAGGAAAGCATTGATAATGCTTTCCTATGGACTGGCTGAAGGCGCGCGCAGCTCTTGCCGCGCATTCAGCCGAGGAGGAGGAGAGTTCCCCGCCCGGCGCTGGAGAAAGAGGTAAGTTTAACCCTTCCTCAACACAGAGCCCGGCAGGAGGGGGACCCTGAGGGTGGGGGCACCCTCAGGGCACTATAGTGCCAGGAAAAAGAGTATGTTTTCCTGGCACTATAGTGGTCCTTTAACACCTTAAGGATGTGTGACATGTCATGAGTCCCTTTTATTCCAGAAGTTTGGTCCTTAAGGGGTTAAACTTCCTATATTGTACTTTCTCTTTAATTTAGAATTTCTTATCTTGTTTGATCTAATAGTCTTCTAGACACTGCATGAGCCTCCTATGTGTGATTAAAGTTCAATTTACAGAACTGGAGATCAAAGCTTCCAAGCAAGTTAACAAGCCAGGAGCTGTGTGGCTAGACACAAAAGTGATTTAATTCCTAAATAGCAGAGAATTAAGCAGTGAGACTGCAGGGACATGAACTATGCATTCAAACTGTTTAAATAAAATAACACCATAGGGTCAGGAACACAAGTGTGTATTTCTGACCCTATAGTGTTAAAAACACTATGTAAACACCCTAAATGTAGTACACAATTCTCTTTTTTTCCAGTCTGCTGTTTTTCTTGCTCTGCCCCTGATCTGCCTCCTTGACTGACATCATCAGGAGTGATGATCTCCGCTAATCACAATGCTTTCCCACAGGTGTGGCGGGACCACTGCCTGTCCTTGAATTGCCTTTCTGATATTGTGTGTGTTTCTCCGTCTCTTCGTATATTGTGCCCGCTCCCTGTTTGGGAGTGCCTCCACGAAAGGAATTAATTCGCCTTCTGAATGGGGACCAGCCCAATACCTATTTTAGAATGTTAGTTTAGAACCTTCACACCTCGCAAGGGAAACAATTAATGAGCGCTCCTCGAACGCCAGCAAGGGGGAGCGTTCGTGGATTTTTTTCCCGAATGAGGACCTCTCCCGTGACCCATTAGAACGTTCACACCAATTAATCAGAATGTTCTCACTTGCCACTTAAGTGTGAAACCGCAAGGGAAGTAATTAATGAATGCTCCCCTTAGTGACCGCCATTTCGTAAAGACGAATGCTGTCCAGAGGGAGCATTCGTGTCCTGTAAGGAGACACTTTCCTTGCAGGATTTCACACAGGGACTTTGCAAGTTGAGACCGATCGATGGAGGTACCGCTATGAGGGTCCCTGAGATTGATGTGGGCACTGCTGGGGCACTGGCGAGTTGGGCAGACTTTTCGGTGCATGCAGAGACAAAGAGATCAGCTCTTTTTTCCGCGGGTGGGCTTTCTGTGCCTAGACTCAGAGGCTCCTGGGAAGAAAACCCCCTGGCGGCGGGTGTGGGAAACCCTATACTAGTGGCGGGAGTTGGGAACAGAGTCTTTTCCCCTCGCTGGGTATCCAGGGAGAGGGAGGATCCTGGGAGGGGACACTGGATGTTGGTATGATACACCCTTTGCATGGAGTATGTTTAAACCTGTGTGTGGCCAATAAAGTGGTTGTTGTACCTCCAGGACTGTGTGTAGTCCAGTCACTGGGGGAAGATGGGTCTCTCTGTGTTTTCAAATGGTTCATGGTCGGCTGAAGGAAGGGAATCAGCGGAGGTTACCAGTCGGGTTTCCCATTGTCTGCAACAATAAGAAAGCATTGGATTGGCCGAGATTGTCAGTTCTTCTCAGCCTAAGAGATAGGGGCGGAGCAAAACACCACCCTTGCCGATCAGCATCTCCTCATAGAGATACATTGAAGCAGACACTACAGTGTAGAAAAAAAAACAGATTTGATGATTTGGTAGGACTAATAAAAGAGAACTTGCTTTCTAGAAATCATGTGAAGGGAAATTTCCCCTTGAGGTAGGTATATCTCTAGACTAGGGGTTCCAAATGAATTTTTCCCGTGGAACCCTTTGACATAGTGTACCAAAAATAGAAAAAAGGGGCCCTTTTTTTTGTATGTGCTGGTGTGTATCTGTGTGTATATCTGACACACAGATACACACACACACAGTGGCATACAGATACACACACACAGACACACACCTTGACAAACAGTGTATTTGTGTATGTATGTATGAATCTGTGTGTAAAGGTGTGTGTATCTGTGTTTTTATGTGCCAGTGTGTGTGAATCTAATACACACACACTGGCAGATAGTGGCACACAGATATACACACCTTAACACAGTGTGTATCTGTGTGTCAAGGTGTGTGCTCTGTGTTTCAAAGTGCGTGTATCTTTGTTTGTATGTGCCAGTGTGTGTGAATCTCACACACACACACACACACTCACTGGCACATAGTGGCACACAGATACACACACTCAGATACACACTGACACACACATCTTGACTCACAAATACAGACACACTCAGATACACACAGTGACATATACACACACTTGCACTCACAGATACACACTGGCACATACACACACTGTCACACTCAGATACACACACACACACACTGACATACTTAGATACACACAGTGACACATACACAAACCTTGACACACAGATACACACACGGACACCCATTTAGACACACGTACTTTTTGACAGACACACAAACACTCACTGACAAACACACATACTCTTTGACAGACACACATACTCTTTGACAGGCACACATAAAAACACATATACACTCTTACTGACAAGAACAGATACATTTTCACTGACCAACACATACACTCTTACACGCTCACTGACAAGCACACATCCACTCTCACTGACACACACATATACAGTTGCAAGAAAAAGTATGTGAACCCTTTGGAATGATATGGATTTCTGCACAAATTGATCATAAAATGTGATCTGATCATCATCTAAGTCACAACAATAGACCATCACAGTCTGCTTAAACTAATAACACACAAATAATTAAATGTTGCCATGTTTTTATTGAACACACCATGTAAACATTCACAGTGCAGGTGGAAGGGAAATATTGCTGAAAAGAGAAAATGTGTTAAATGTTGCTTTGAAAACAGCCACGCCACTTTAAAACCATTACCCCAATATTTCTATTTCTCCCCTAATTTGCATTGTTTGCTTGCCCTTGCCTAAACTGGATTATGATGTCAGTTGTTAAATCTTTAATATAAATTAAAAAAAGAAAATGGAGGATCTCATAAAATAAATATGAAGCTTGGATTTCCTATGGGAAAGCATTGCATTGGCTGATATAGGCAAGCTTGATTATCTGAACCATGGAGGCAGAGCCACAGTGAGACTGGCATGGCAGGGGAAAAAGGGAGTAAAATCACCTTTGCCATGCGATCGGAGGGGGGGCGGTCACCTAAACACACCCTCACTCACACACAGACGCGCTCACTGACGGGCACGAGCACTCAATGACAATATCACACACTGATACCCACACACACTCATTTTCTCACACCAACTTAGAAATTGTATATTTTTAAATTAAATCCACCCAGCCTCCCTACTTTTTGGAGAGCTGAAGAGCATTGACTTTTCCTGGGGTCCAGTGAGGAGGCTGTCATCTTCCTGCTCTGCTCCCTTTCGCGTCGTTTAGTGATAACTCTGCCAGAGAGACATCATATTCTGGTTCCATCACTACAGGGAGTGTGAGGGAGCAGGGCTGAACAACTATAGCTCTGCGTCAGCCAGTCAGCTGCATTGTCCCTGGGCTGAACAAATCCCAGGCACCATGACAAATGTACACTGATCAGCTACAGCATTAAAACCACTGACATGTGAAGTAAATAACAATTATATAATCACAATGGCACCTAGCAAGGGGTTGGCTACATTAGGCAGCAAGTGAACAGTCTGTTCTTAATATTCATGTGTTGGAAGCAGGAAAAATGGACAAGCGTTGAGATCTGAGTGACTTTAGACAAGGGCCGAATAGTGATGGCTAGACTACTGGGTCAGAGCATCTCCAAAACGGCAAGTCTTGTGGATTTTTATTAGTATGTAGTTATGTAGTGGTTAATACCTAACAATAATGGTGCAAGGAAGGACAACTAGTGAACCAGCATCGGGGTCACTGGAGCCCAAGGCTCATTTAGGCACATGGGGAGTGAAGGCTAGCCTGTCTCGTCGATCACACAGAAGAGCTACTGTAGCTGAAATTGATGGAAAAAGGTAATGCTGGCCATGATAGAAAGGTACAAATCACACTGCACACCATATACAATATACCATATAAAATATCTCTTTATTTCATTAACGTGAGTAAAAGGTAATAACACAACACTGGAATGTGTAAAGACTAATATATGATAGTAACACAGCACTAAAAATGTATAGCTGGCAGTATATAACACTATTACAAGGAAGGACTGACAATACATCTGCATATAATACGTTAGAGTAATGACCGGATCCACTGAGCCAAGACCCATTGTTTGAAAAAGGCTCTATAGCCAAAACTTTGACACGTACCCCCTAACTAGAGATTGTTGCAGACCACAAACACACCTTCATGGCTTTGGTGTTCCATGATGGGAGTGGCCTCTTCCAGCAGGATAATGCACCCTGCCACCCTGATTGTTAAAGGACCACTATAGTGCCAGGAAAACAAACTTGTTTTCCTCGCACTATAGGGTCTTTAGGTCCCCCCCACTCCCGCCGGGCTGAAGGGGTTAAACTCTTACCTTTCTCCTCCCTCTTCCGACGTCAGCGCCGAAAGCGCATGCACGGCAAGAGCTGCGCAAGCATTCAATCAGTCCGTAGGAAAGCATTTCTCAATGCTTTCCTATGGACGTCAGCGTCGACGCACAGTGATTTTCACAGTGAGACGCGCGGAAGCGCCTCTAGCGGCTGTCAATGAGACAGCCACTAGAGGCTGGATTAACCCTAGTGTAAACATAGCAGTTTCTCTGAAACTGCTTTGTTTACAGCTGCAGGGTTAACCCTAGATGGACCTGGCACCCAGACCACTTCATTGAGCTGGGTGCCTATAGTGGTCCTTTAAGTGATAGGTTATCATATATTGGCTGTGTTGTAGCCACCCAGCCTTAGCTAAGTCATCTTTATATGCATCTGAACAGAGCTTGGGACACACTAAGCACCATTAAAGACCATTGTGGTGGTTATTTTAAAGCATTTAAAGAAAATGAAAAGGGGAAAAAAAGAAACTTGCTGGCACATAGAACATTGTCTTTGTTATTAGCCATTTGGATAATGCAGAAGATCACTTCCGTATTATTCATCAAGCCTCAGCCTTGGCCTATAATGATGAGCTGAGAGCTCTGGGCTCGATCACACCTTGTTTATTAGAGAGGTCAAACTGTTAAGGTGTCAGTAATGTTGCTAGATTTTAAATAAGTACAAATATATATATATATCCCTCTCTTTCCTTCCCCCTCTCTCTCCCTCCATCCCTCCTTAACACTACTTACAATACAATAATTGACAAGCACATTGCTGCTACAGATATGAAATGCCATATAAATTACATTATCCAATTGTCAATGAGAACCTAAAGCATACATTATACAATCGCCAAGGGGCATAGAAAATACTAGGAATCTGATGGATTCACACTGCAAGGGTCAGGTTGGTTAGCTCACCTCTAAGGAGGAGATAATCATGGTAAGTTAGTGTGCTCAGTTGAGTTCTTGAAAGTCTTGACGGATAATGGTCGAATGTCGTTGGGTTTGGGTTCTGTGGTTTGCAAGAAATTGTAAGGAATAAGGGGGATTGGATGACAGCAGGGAGTTTTCCTGAACCTGAGAAGTAGTACATGGAATAGGGTTATGGTGGTGAGGGAGCACAGAGTGTTTAGGAGTAATTGGGGCCAGTGCAGGGTTTCTAATAGGAAGGAAAACATGAACAGGCAGTGCGCATTGCGGAGAATATGTTTTGAATTTGTTAAAGATGGGTGATGGTGTGTTGAGGACTGGCAAATAAGAAGATGCTGCATTAATCAAGCATTGTATAGATCAGAAGTGAATGTACACTGTATATTTGTTGAAAAAGAAAGTAGACCTCAATGCGATGCGATGTGGTTCGGGAGCTATTTTGGGGTGGTTTTTTTGGGAACAAGTCCTATTCAGTGTTTTTGCAGATCTAATATTATGATATTCTAAGCTTCTTAGACAGAATTGTAATTGTCTTCTATAGATTTAGGCTCCTCTCTTCCAACTCCCTATGGTGCTTTTAAGGTAAAGAGTGAATTGTGGTGAATAGACCACAGAATTGTCCAAATAAAGGAAATAATCACATTGGAAATATTCATCTAATTCATTTACATTTTTTCAGCTGTTTTGGCATTTATTTGGCAATTCCCATGTCCGTTTGCCACAGTTCAATGTTGAGTGATTATATTTACTATACTGGTAACCAGTAAACTTGATGTATTAATGTTCTGTTGACTGACCTCGCTCATCAAACAGCTTTCACTCGGAGATCACCCTGTCACTATATGAAATGCTTGTACTAACTACAATGGAATTTATTTAAATCCCAGAGCAATCCAATTCAAAAGATGTAAGACAAAGTCGAAATGTCTTTATGTTCAAAACCTAATTTGTTTAGATGTGGTTTCTAAGTTTAACCCCTTAAGGACCAAACTTCTGGAATAAAAGGGAATCATGACATGTCAGACATGTCATGTGTCCTTAAGGGGTTAATTTCCCTGAGCCGTTGACAGCTGTGGAAAACCTGCATCTTGTTGCACGTTGCAAAGAGTATTGAGTACAGCACGCTGTAGTGGTTATAGTGCATAGTATTCCTTCAACTATTACAGCATTCAAACGTGCGCACACCATTTTAAAACAGAAGGAATTTTATTCAGTGCTGTTTGGGATAGTGCAAAGCATTCTGAACAGAGCTGCCAGTAATCTAGTTTATTTCCCTGCTTTATGAAGTTACTGAAGCTGTTTGTAAAGCCTAGTGTTCACTCTTTGTTCCCAGATCCAGGTTGTGGATGACGGAGCAGATACCACGTCCCCTGAAACGCCTGAACCGGCTGCCTCCAGAGTCCTCAAGAGAGGTACCACCATGGCCTGTTTTTTCTGTATTTTGTATTATTGTTGGGAATGTTCAGTAGTCGATTACCTTTAATACTGTCCATATAGTCCATGTTTAATATTGCCGAGTTACTTCCTAATGTTCCATTACCGTACCTTTTACCCCTTTCAGTACCTGTTCTAATCCGGCCCTTGTAACCTTTACAATACCTGCTCTATATCCGCATCTGTATTTCATGGGGTGTGCCCATCCGGTAAATATATAATGCCAGGTATCTGCTCAAATGATATACAATACAGCTTTATAGTCCACTATTGCTCCAGTGACAAAGCAAATGATTGACTTAACCCTGTTTAACATGCAGGTAATTCCACTGAACCCAACTCTATGTAGCCCAAGTAAGTTCGTTCAGCAGACGGTGTCCTTTCCTCCAGTATCCGTCGGATCAGCCTCCTTCCCACCTCTTCCTGTCCCTCTAAACTCTCTCCCTGTTACTCCAACTCACACGGCTATTTACTAAACTTTGAATTGACGTAAATTTAAAATTCAAACAAAAAAAACGTAGTCCGTATAGCTGACAGAGAATTTTTCAGATCAGCAATTTGTATTTAAATTTTGCGATTAGAAAAAAGCATGTGCAAGCTTACACAGAGCACAGCAAGGGATCAGTTACAGGATAGTCCATTTTTATTTATGTCCCTAATGGATAGAGTCCGTTCTTTCAATGTAATGTTGGATTTCTTTTTGCAGATGTCTCCGAGACGCCCAAAAGCAGTAAACTGGTGAGTTAATGTGTGTGCATGTTAGGGGATTTGAATTGAGGAGTCAGTAGGTTGACCTAATTTGTTCAGTTTCTTCTACTTCTGTGTTCATATAGAATTGATCTATTAAACCCCATTCCGTGTTCTCCTGAACACTGTGAGTGCCCTTTCTACCCTGTGGCAGGCCTTTCTTTCTGTTACTGTCTCAATGATGCTGGCACCTCTTAGGAAATGTCTCACAGCCGGGTAAAGTGTGAACAAGCTAGCTTGATTTACTTTGTGTTCACCTTGTAAGATTGTTTCCATAACGCTTAATGTGAAATGTATTTGTTTTAAAGTGCCCTCTCACTTTGCTGTTAACTCAAGATGTTTACTAAAGTGTGAATTGCAAGGAATTCAAAGTTCATTTCAAAGTTTAGGAGAAAATTACTGAACTAAAATCTCAAATAAAGCAGTTTTTCAGTTTAACTATTGTATGCTAAAATATGAAACTATTTATTATAAATTCCTGACATTACCCAGTAGTCTGCAGTGTGTTGGATAATACCATGACTAGACTGGACGCACTAAACGGGGTGTATTGGTCCCAGTAGCCATTTACTTGGTATGTTGGCGTGGTGTTCTGTTCTAGAGAACCTTAATACTGTTTAGAGAATCTTTTAAACGAACAGGCACTGAACGGACATCTGTCTCCTGAGGAAAGTCTACAGGTATAGAAACCTTGGCAGTCCACGTGCTAGTGTGTGAGACTTCTGCTACACACGTATGTGGTAGACACCAGAATGTAATTATCAGTATTATGCTGAACATGTTGATGTATACTTGTGTTAATGTTTCAGATTTATCTAAATTTCTATGCAGGCACTTACTGACCTTTCAATAAAGTGGAATCCTGGAATTTAATATCTAAATAAGTGTTTGTTTGATATTAAAGGGACTCTATAGTCACTAAAATAACTTTAGCTTCATGAAGCCGTTTTGGTATATAGATCATGCCCCTGCAGTCTCACTGCTCAGTTCTCTGCCATTTTGAAGCTAAATCACTTTGTTTATGCAATACTAGTCACAACTCCCTGCATGTGACGTGCACATCCTTCCTAAACCCTTCCTGTAAAGAGTCATCTAACATTTTTCCTTCCTTTATTGCAAAATCTGTTTAATTTAGATGTTCGTTTCTCCTGCTCCGTTAATAGCATAGTAGACCCTGCAGGAGCCTCCTATATGTGATTTAAGTTAATTTTACACGGCAGGAGATACTAACTTTAAAGTTAGTTACATCTGACTGAAAGTGAAACCAGTTTTTTCCCCATGCAGGCTGTGTCAGTCACAGTCAGGGTAGATGTGGCTAGGGTTGCATAAACAGAAACAAAAATGATTTGACTCCTAAGGGGCAGTGGATTGAGCATTGAGACGTCAGAGGCATGACCTATACACCAAAACTGCTTCATTAAGCTAAAGATGTTTTGGTGACTATAGTGTTCCTTTAATGCTTGTTTTGTGATGCAGAAGAAGTGTTTAAGTGCAGTGTGTAATACAAATGTTACAAAGTTCCTTGTTACAAAGATGATTTGCAAAATCCACCAATAGGAGCCCTGATCCTGTAATAAACTGAGTGATATTTTCATGGCATTTGTGGATGGTCACACAGTCATTGCTGCAGAACATTGTATGTCACTTGTCCTCATCTGAACTATCATGTTTTCTTTAATTTTTTTATTTTTTATTGGTTTTATTTATATTTTAAAAATTGATGCAAAATATTCATTTTGCAGAACAATGTAAGCACTTCGCTATCAGTCTAATATTGTGGCACTGTCTGTCACTCAGAGCGTGTTATTGCCTCTATTAATGGAAAACTGTTGTCACTTTTTACTATAGAAGAGTGCATGTAATCGTGTGTGTATGTTATAAACTCTTCAGTAAACCCCTTGGCTTAATGGCTTACACTTTGCTCTTTGGGAAGTGCCATCTTTATTTCTCTGTGATGAGATTAACTACTTATTTGCCATACTCCAAGATCATACTCCGTTTAAAGACGTGAAACCGTCCGAGTGCATATTTGTGATGCCCTTGCTAATGTTGTGGGTTTGTGAATGTACATTCTTGTTCAGGCGCATGGTTCAATAAGGTTAGCTAGGAGCTGGGAACGATTGTTTAGTTGTGTAATTGTTTTATTACAAAATTAAACCCATAAAAGTTATAAATATAATTATTCTGAATACAATATGCAAGTTTACTTTAAACCCTCCACCCCCTATTATTCTGTGTCTTACTAAATCTATAAATAAGGACTAAAAACCTTCTATACATGTTGCTTCTCACCATTTTCAGAACGTGCTGTTAGCAATTAATAGCTTACTCTGTTTCTTGACACCGTGATGCCTTTTCCCCTGTCAGTTTAGCAGATATCCATAAACGAGTTATTGTTTTTGTTGTCAATAAATAATGCACTTTCTATGTGGACAGACTTGAATAATAGATTTACAGATTACTTTCCAGAATACAAAAAGCCTGTATTCTTTTATCTTTTTTTAAAAATAATTTTTGTAGCGAAATTATGATATTGATCAGAGCAGCAATATGAAACGTTTCTTAAAATGAAATCTCAAGGTTAATTTATGTTTATATGCAAGTGTTCTTTATTTTACAATATTACCACCGACCCATTCATATAGCTGTCTATCTTGTTCTGTCCAACTACAAATCAATATTAAATGCATCTGGTTTTCATCTATAACTGTCATCTATACCTCACCCAGTTTTATTAAGAGGCTCACTCAGACCCCCAGTAGTGGTTTTACTGCCAGGAGTCCCATAGTGCTATCCCATTGTTAAAGGGTCAAACAGTTTGGGAACTAGTTGACACTTACCTTGGTCTCCCTAGGCACTCTTATCTCCTCCCATGTTAGGTTAGTTCTGTGTTACTTTTCAGTCATTCATAAGTCGGTACATGACCTATGGTACCCAGGTATATGTACATTGTTTGGCCCCCTACTGGGAGACTCTAGGCACCATAACCACTACAGTGGGTTTTTAGTGGTTATGGTACTTAGAGCGCTACTTTTACAGACAATGACCTTTGCGTATTTACAAAGTTTCCTTTCTAAGCAACCTGCTTTGTGCATTGGTACCACTAGAGGGAGACATTGTAAATGGTTAAGACTATGCTATAGTTTCTGTGGCTGAATTTCACACTGTACGGGTTAATTAATATAAAAAGCTTCCACTTTGTAATCTTAACAAGCAAAGCAGATGAATGTGACACTGTCGCTGAATAATTCTATTTACTTGGTCTGGTAGAAAGAGCATTGTCTTGGTTCTTGTTTGTTCTCTCCTTGCATTAGTGACGTACTGCGTCCTGGATAAATACATAGAATTCGAATGGTCATTTGCACTATTTAAGGACTTGGCACAGATTGGAGTGTGGTGTTTTGCATATTTCCCACATGTGTCTGTGTATTTGGGAGTGTAAGACATCGGTAAGAGACAGCTTTCAGTAAGTGTGTCCGTTCTCTGTGAAGTTTGATGTAGCTTTAGATATTTTATATTATTGATGCAGTGGGTTTGAATGGATCCTCTCACGATGATTTGTCATATATTTGGAAGGATGGATGTACATTTTAAATTATTAAGAGTTTAAAGGTGTCTTTAGTGGTCATGGGAAATACACAGTAGGATAAAGCAACATGACTAAAACTGATTGGGTTAGGCACGGTTAGGAAATCCCAGATGTGCCTAGCTGAGAAAGGTGACAATATATTAAATACAGCCCTGCAAGATGTATAGTTCATACGTTGTCTGAAACACATTTAATAGAGAGCTCCCTTCTTTTATTTTGTCTGAAGTATGTCTGGCTAGGATTTGTCAGAGAAGACTCCAATGCTGGCTGTATTGCAGTGCACACATCCCACGGTCTATCTTTCCTGATCTTAATGTTAAACAGTTTAATTGTAAAATGTTTTACATCATATTCATAAATAAGGTTACCAAGCGATCTGGGATACAGCGCAGGTTTTTACGTGACTGTGTCCTGTGAGTCACATGTTTATCTGTCCTCCTAATCCCCAAACTGTGTGTTTAACATGTCTTATTCCTCCAAATAACTTGCCTTCTCACTGATTAACTGAGCCACTTGGCTTCTAACCTTTCTCACATTTGCCTTTTGTTCATGCAGCGTGGAGTAAAGCCTAAAAAGGTGGAGCCTGTTTTTTTCTATATCTGCAGTGCTTGTGTGGCTGCGTCCTTAATGTTCTCACCATGAGCATGAGATCCCCATTGCCCCCAATATGCCAAATGTCCTTTTTCCCCCACTATTACACCTCTGCACGCCCGCTCATTGCATGTAATTCAGCGCTAAGGTGGAGTGTCCATTGTGCAGAAATGTGATTGATCTAGTGTCCATAGTGTGTAGAACAATAAAATGGGGGCCGAATGACATTTAAAAATATGTGCAATGTGTCATGCCGTCCCTCTTGCCTTTCCATGATGTATACTGACAGAATCAATCCTTTTTGGGGTGTTTCTCCCTTTTTTCTTCTCTGGAAAGTGTAGCCTGTAGCATTATGTATACCATGGGATTAGTGTCACTGGAACACACAGGCGGAATAGCTGCATTTTCTTTTAACTTAATTTTAGTTACCTAAGTTGCAGTCTGCTAATAAAGCATACGGTCTGGTGCTCCCAGTTACCACAATTTGTTACTAGTGAGATTGCTCACGTCAGACTTCTAGCTGAAGAAATATCTTTATAAAATAAATGTGTATTTTAAGCCTCTCTTCATAATCCAGTTTGTCACCCTCTTGTGATCCCCGCAATGTTAAATGGAAGCGTGACCGCTATTGGTAAGAGATGTCTATAGTTGATTCAGATCATGTTATTTGGGAATAGACAGGAATGAGATCAATATCCACTCTTCTTAGATCATTGTATTGAAATGCATTATCCTAATACTGCTTCTGTAATGTGTTGTAACGTGTTCTATATTGGTTATTAATCATGGCTGATACATCTCATAGCATATCCCTAATCTGGTGGTCAGAGACCTATGGCTGTCTGGCAGATGTGTTATGTGTGCAAAGCTTGCTGGGAATTGTTTATCATTATTCACTGGGGTGTTTATTGCGATTTTACATTGAACATTGTATATTTCCAGTTGGAGGGGGGGATGAAAATATATATATCTCTATCTCTACTTAACACAGTATTTACACAATGTTAATTGTTTGTTAGGTCAATTGCCCTTTATTCCTAGAAAACCAGCTGCCATTTTATCAGCAATGCTTTTCTAACTCTTCTATCTTATGTTTGAAAGGGTTGATAACTTAGGGGGTGGGGACACGGTGCCGGGAAAGAACCATTGTGCTGTGCCAGAGACCTGATAAAATACTGGGCTAGAGACATCTATTGAAGCTTTAGATTGTCCCTCTTGTAGAGTTCTAAGAGTGCTTCTCTTTAATATGTATCCGTATCAGAGCAGTTTCCTCCAGAGCCAGCCAGCAGCAGTATTCTCAATACGGTAGAATACCTTCCGTCAGGTAACTGGAACACCACAATACTCTTTACTATGGTTACTGAACCCTTGGGAATGAAGCCAGGATTGTGTGTTTCTCAGGCCAGCCTGTATGTTTTATTATTAATACCAAAACATTATGTAATGTCCTCCGTAGATGCCCTTTGGTGGGAATTCAGCTCTTACATCTCCCACTCTATTACCACCACTGTTTCTCCTTGTAGCTGCACTCCTGTACACAGGTTTCTGTTGTTTGTTGGTGGTTTACATAAGCTGATTGGATATATGGCTTCACGTAGCCTTCTGCATGATGTGTTGGAGGAATGGACATTTGACTAAAATGAGTGCTTTTCTGTGGTTTAATAGGTAAGCCATATATTAAGCATAATTAAAGGCAGCAGGGCTTATATAGACCTGCTCAGGTCAACTGACCTTGTGCTAATTCCTGACTGAGTTTGGCTCAGCATGGTTAGCTTGGTTGTTTAATCATACCTATGAATTATGTGAAGCCATTATAATAGGTGACTCACATTCTGCTGCTGAGGAGATGGAATGAGTGGATATGGAGGACATGAGGATGGCCATAAATGGTGACTCCAAATCTCATAATATACATAATAACATCAATCACAACATCCACAGTATAGCTCTTTTATATGAAACCCACAGATCTGTGGCTGTTTTATGGAAAATACTCAGTGTTGGTGCCTAGCTGAATGTTTCTGCCTTTTAATGGTATTGATTTTACTGAAGAAGCTGGAACTGTTCTGTTTGATGTGTGCCTTTTTTGATGTTCTTAGGAGGGAACGACCACATTAGAAACATAGAAACATAGAATGTGACTGCAGACAAGAACCATTCGGCCCATCTAGTCTGCCCAATTTTCCAAATACCTTCATTAGTCCCTGGCCTTATCTTATAGTTAGGCTGGCCTTATGCCTATCCCACACATGCTTAAACTCCTTTACTGTGTTAACCTCTACCACTTCAGCTGGAAGGCTATTCCATGCATCCACTACCCTCTCAGTAAAGTAATACTTCCTGATATTATTTTTAAACCTTTGTGGTAGTTTTTCTTCTATTTTTCTTCTATTAAATATAGTCTCTCTTTCTTGACTGTGTTGATTCCCTTTAAGTATTTAAATGTTTCTATCATATCCCCCTGTCTCGTCTTTCCTCCAAGCTATACATGTTAAGATCCTTTAACCTTTCCTGGTAAGTTTTATCCCGCAATCCATGAACCAGTTTAGTACCCCTTCTCTGAACTCTCTCTAAGGTATCAATATCCTTCTGAAGATACGGTCTCCAGTACTGTGTACAATACTCCAAGTGAGGTCTCACCAGTGTTCTGTACAAAGGCATGAGCACTTCCCTCTTTCTACTGCTAATACCTCTCCCTATACAACCAAGCATTCTGCTAGCATTTCCTGCTGCTCTATTACATTGTCTGCCTACCTTTAAGTCATCAGAAATAATCACCCCTAAATCCCTTTCCTCAGATGTTGAATCCGTTTCCTCATATGTTGAGGAAACATTAGCTCTCAGTTGATGTCAGCTACCTTGCCCAATTCAGCTATGGAGAGACTGTAACACTGAATGGCAAGTCAATTTTTGTGCTTTGTATTGTGTGGCAGCACACAGGCTATTCTATCACCTATGGTCAAACTCCAATATCACAAATTCTTTTTACACAAAAGAAAGAGAAATAATAAAGTTGCCAGAGATCCCATGCTGAGGCCAAGTTCTCCCTGCACCAGATTCAACATCAATGATGTCACTCCCTCTCACTGGAGAGTCAGGGATGTCCCATTGGACATGCTGGGGGGAGGACCTGAGGATTGCTGTCGCTGTTGGTCGCCTGTTGTCAACATGCTCTGTGTGCTGATTACAGATACCAAGTATGCACAGATTTATCGCTAGCCAGGCCTGAACGAATTCCAAGCTGGATAATAATGCTGCCACAGGTAGAGATATAATGCATTAAATCTATGAATATCCAGAGTCTCTTACTGAAATACTGCGCATACAGACTCCAAGCACCTTGGGGACTGCAAATCACTGATGTGGTCACGGTGCTGGAGGTAACCCTTTGAGCCCCCTCTATGCCTATGTGGAAACTCACTACACAAATCATAAAATACATTGCTGTGTTTGATACGTGTTTCCGACACAGCTTGTATTGACTCTCATAGGTCTATGCTGTAACTATTGAGAACCATCTGGAATTCAGAGTAAATTCAAAGCGAATTTCAAATTTAAGTTCAAAATAACCGAGCTGCAAAATTTCCCTAAGACTGCTATACTTCCAGTTTGGCCACTTTGGCAATCAAATTGAAATTCACTCCCAACAATTCTCACCTTAGTAAAAAACCATGTTAGTCGTTTTGTGAGTGGAAGATGTCACATGAACAAGAAACTGTCAATCACTCTGGTAGCAAAAGAGTTAATGAACAATACAAACACTTACTCATCCTCCATTTTCATACCCATCGCAGATCATGTTTCTTCCTGTGGGACGTATCCTCCTCCTGTTGCACAATCCTAATTAAGGAAGAAGAAAAATTTTAGCTTTTTGCAAATGGATTTTAATGTTTGTGGCATGCTGGCTTCCAACATATAATGCTTTATAGCACACACTGGAATTACCACCACCCCCCAACCCCTTCCACCCTACTTCCCTCCAAAATATAACCTGCTTTTCTTCGGTCTATTTCATGGGACGAAACTATCATTATGTAAGAGCAAATTAACCTGTCTTGTATTCATGCTTCCTCCACGTGTCTCAATTCCTTCCCCCAGCCCCTCCACGTGTCTCAATTCCTTTCCCCAGCCCCTCCACGTGTCTCAATTCCTTTCCCCAGCCCCTCCACGTGTCTCAATTCCTTCCCCCAGCCCCTCCACGTGTCTCAATTCCTTCCCCCAGCCCCTCCACGTGTCTCAATTCCTTCCCACCCGCCCCTCCACGTGTCTCCTTCCCCCCTAGCCCCTCCACGTGTCTCCTTCCCCCTAGCCCCTCAGTGTCTCCTTCCCCTAGCCCTCTGCGTTTCTCCTTCCCCAGCCCCTCCTCGTTTCTCCTTCCCAGTCGTGTCTCTTCCCCCAGCCCCCTCGTGTCTCCTTCCCAGCCCTCCTATGTCTCTCCTCCCCCCCTCAGCCCCTCTTAGGTGTATCCTTCCCCTCAGCCCTCTCGGTGTCTCCCCCTCTCGTGTCTCCTTCCCCCCAGCCCCTCGTGTCTCCTTCCCCCCCAGCCTCTCCTTCCCCCAGCCCCCTCTGTGTCTCCTCCCAGCCCCTCGTGTGTCTCCTCCCCAGCCCCTCTAGTGTCTCCTTCCCCCAGCCCTCCTCACGTGTCTCCTTCCCCCCCCTCTCGTGTCTTCAGCCCTCGTGTCTCCTTCCCCAGCCCCTCTCGTGTCCTTCCCCCTGCCCTCGTTGTGCTCCTTCCCCCAGCCCCTCGTGTCTCATTTCCCAGCCTCGGCGTCTCCTTCCCAGCCCCTCGTGTCTCCCCCCAGCCCCTCGGTGTCTCTTCCCCAGCCCTCTCACGGTGTCTCCTTCCCCAGCCCTCTCGTGTCTCCTTCCCCCCAGCCCCTCTCGGGTCTCTTCCCCAGCCCCCTCGGGTCTCCTTCCCAGCCCCTCTACGGGTCTCCTTCCCCCCCCAGCCCCTCTACGTGTCTCCTTCTGTGCATGTCCATCAGCTATGTAAATATGAAGTCTCAGTCTTTTTATTCTCTTATCGGGTCTTATTAGTCCAAGTCCTTTGCTGCTGGTCACTGATGAATCCCATGCTGTGTGCGTTAGACGTGGATTATGACACCCCGTGTTAGTCTTGCTGTTATCCTGTCTAGCTACTTCCTGGTGGCAGATGGCCACAATAAGGCGAATTGACCTTTAAAGCATTGTGTTACCATCTGCCAGCTGGAGGATTTTCAGGCAATGATTAGCTGTACATTATCTGTTCTCCTCTTTCTATGGACAGATCTGACCATTCCCAGCCAATTTATACTACGCATCTGCTTATTCACATTATGAAAATTATTCTTGCCAGTTATACAGCGCCAACGTATTCCGCATCAATTTACAATGTTATAAAAGGGGAAATTTCTCAATAAATGAGACATTTACAAATATCTACAGGAACATGGTGAGGATTCTGGGCAAATGAGCTTACAAATCTCAAAATCAATTAAAATACATATCATTTGTGGAGCATTTTTTATGTACTCTTTGTAATAATAGGATGGCGCCAAACTTTTTTGCCTGTATTATTTTTATTTATTTTAGTCCTAATTCACTATTGGTTCCCTACCCCCATAAACTCTAAAATAAGTTTTTTAAAAAAGGAAGCTATAACTTGGCTGAATCCAGCACTGGGTAAAAGTCCTGGTACTGCACTTCACTCCCTGTCTGACATCACAGTAGCTATCGTCCAAGCATTTGATTGGACCGTTTAACAGGCTCAGAGTGCATGTTTGTGCTCTGAGCCAGTAAGGGGAGGGAATATATGCAAAATAAAAACAAAAAACAGAAGCTATGGGGAGGCAGGAAAGGGATTCAGTCGTCAGTGCGCTAATGAGACGTACATTTTGCACAGAATTGACATTAGTCAACCCCGGAACAGTCATGTGTGCCGCGGGTGCAACTAGTCCCTGACAAACAATTGCAAATATCTCTGGATGTGCAGCGTTTAAAGCTGAAACATTGTACTTATACCCCTTCCACCATGACCACTTCTTAAAGCAGAAGTTGTCATGGTGGCTGGAGTAACCCTTTAGTTTATGTTCGTAAGAGATTGGTACTATTGCTGTCTGGACAGTGATGTCCTTGGTTTATATTGCAATAAATAAAGAAAAGTCGACGATAAGGCATCAATTCTTCTACGTTCTCTCTACTATGAAAATGGATTGAGCTTGTACGTCACGCTTTTCTACAACCGTAGAATGATCACATAAGCGATATGGAAGAACCGGTGGTTATTGTTAGGGTAGAGTGCCACAAGACGAGGTGGTCTTGGGCACCGAGTTACCTTTTGGGGTTAAACCATCAATAAACAGTTAATGGTTGGAATATAAGTTCATGGGCAATGCGGAGGGGAGCAGGAGTGAAGACTTTGGGGTGAGTTTACAAATGAGCTAATGCTGTCAGACATAGCCTTTCCAGTCCTGCTAATAAGCTGCTTTCAGTGTTGGTAAATAGCAATCTAGTAAATGCCTAATTATGAATATCTCTATTTTATTCCAGCCCTTGAACACATATATATGGCCTGAATAATATCTGCATGGGCTTTATAGAGTTCCAGTGACTGTGTGCACACTAATACATTCCAAACATACAAGCAGGACTCTCAGAATCTACTCGGAATGGCTGGCTTAGCTTTCTTACTAAATCCTGTGCCAGGACTATTCACCAAACTGGGAGCTAGGTTAAAATCACAGAGCAGGAGAACTTTTCATTGAAGCTATTTTTACATAAAATGTCAGGCAGTTCCCTATAATTTCCAGTTTGGGAAATGTTTTGGTGCTTTGTTAGTAAATCATATTACTACTAATAATTATTATATTAAAGTGATCTAACGATTGTCTAACATTTGCAAGGGTTTTTTTGCATTAATCTTCTCACCATAATGTTAAAGGTTGTTACAATCCGCATGACTTGCCAAATATAAAAATAGGAGTCGTAGGGGGTAGAGCAGTTCATTTAACGATTGACTGATTTAAATTGCTATTGCTAACAATAAGCATACATAGCCATTAGAGGTAAATGTGTAGGTGCTGCATACTGACATTTCAGCTGCTGATTATTTTACTTTCCGTTTTTCTAGAACAGGGTGGTTTTCACTTGGTACATTCCTAAATACAACTCCCATCCTGCTATCCCAGCCTGGTTACAAGTGAAAGATTTGTAATAAAAGTAGTACCTGTCGGAGGGGCTGATCTGTAACCCAGCTCTCTGTTCATGATGCTCATTTCTGTCCGTGCTTGTGTTTGTGTCATGTAAGCTACGTCTGATCCGCAGGGACCAACACGCAGCCATCTGCCCCTTGTCTCCAGGGCTAATTCCCAGCCTGCATGGCAGTAATTTAACCCTGCAACACCGTGACAGGGAGAAGACACGGATTTAAAGCTACAGTTGTATATCTCTCAGTAACAGTACACTGTGCGCTACTGATCAAGGTAGAGACTTAGTGGATGTTTGATATAGGGTACAAAAGGAACCTCCATAGGACGCGTTTGTTTAGCTAATGGGGGAGGCATGGTGTCTATTTTGCTGATGGAGGGGATGAGTTTCACTGTTGCAGTGATGATGTCATTGTTTTACTAACATTTAGACGGTGATGTTTGTTTTTGTGATGTTTATAAATGAGAGAAAGTAGGTAATCAAGGTAATTAATTAGGAGATGAAAAATAAAGAACTTTTGGCATTGATGAAATTAATGACATAAGCTGTTATTTCGGATGCTTTTCTTTTTCATATCAAAGTATACATTATTGATGTTTTTTTTTGTTTGTTTATATATAGTTTGTTTTAATTTTACTGTGTTGTTGAAAATGAAAATATTTATCTGCCAATTGTAAATTGTGAAAAAAAATTCAATAAACGAGAGGGTGTCAATTCATGGAAAAGAAACTCAATTTATGTATTGTAGCCTTGACATACATGAACTTCTGCACACAATTTATTAAAACGATTGCATTTTATTTATTTTTTTATTTTGTTGCTTTTGCACCCAGTCTGTGCTTTTAAGTGTATGACGACACAATTGATTTATCAATCATCCACCATAAGTGTTGTTAGTCTGTGTCACTTTCCTTGTCTGCCACTCTACATTTAATTGCCAAACCTGAATATTTCAGTAGATAAATGCCAACACTTTTAGACCATTTAAGAACTATTTCTTAAACTGGCACTATCGTTATCAAAAAAACTTTGTTAATAATGCCATTTACGGCTCAATTCTCTGCCATTTAGGTGTTAGATAACTTTGTTTATGCACCCCTAGTAACACCTCCCTGCGTGTGACTTGCTCTGCCTTCCTGTAAAGAGAGATCTAATGTTTATACTTCCTGTATTGCAAACTCTGTTTAATTTAGCATTTAGTATCTCCTGCTCTGTTAATAGTTTGCTAGTCCCTTCAGGGGTCTCCTGTATGTAATAAAACTTCAATTTACAGAGCAGGAGATAAAAACATTTAAAATAAGTAACATGGAATTGAAAATGAAACCATTTTGGTTTCTTGCAGGCTGTGTCCATCACAGCCAGGGGAGGTGTGGCTTGTGCTGCATATACAGAAACAAAAGTAATTTAACTCCTAAATTGCAGTGTTAACTTAATTAAGCTGGTATTAGTGATACAGTGTATTACAATGTATAGAGTGCAGCCGGTGTTAGTGATACAGTGTATAACAATGTATACAGTGCAGCCGGGGTTAGTGATAGTGTATAACAATGTATAGAGTGCAGCCGGTGTTAGTGATACAGTGTATAACAATGTATAGAGTGCAGCCGGTATTAGTGATACAGTGTATTACAATGTATACAGTGCAGCCAGGGTTAGTGATAGTGTATTACAATGTATAGAGTGCAGCCGGGGTTAGTGATACAGTGTATTACAATGTATAGAGTGCAGCTGGGGTTAGTGATACAGTGTATTACAATGTATAGAGTGCAGCCGGGGTTAGTGATACAGTGTATTACAATGTATAGAGTGCAGCCAGGGTTAGTGATAGTGTATTACAATGTATAGAGTGCAGCCGGGGTTAGTGATACAGTGTATTACAATGTATAGAGTGCAGCTGGGGTTAGTGATACAGTGTATTACAATGTATAGAGTGCAGCCGGTGTTAGTGATACAGTGTATAACAATGGATAGAGTGCAGCCGGTATTAGTGACACAGTGTATTACAATGTATACAGTGCAGCCAGGGTTAGTGATACGGTGTATTACAATGTATAGAGTGCAGCCGGGGTTAGTGATACGGTGTATTACAATGTATAGAGTGCAGCCGGGGTTAGTGATACGGTGTATTACAATGTATAGAGTGCAGCCGGGGTTAGTGATACGGTGTATTACAATGTATACAGTGCAGCCGGGGTTAGTGATAGTGTATTACAATGTATAGAGTGCAGCCGCTGTAAGTGATACAGTGTATTACAATGTATAGAGTGCATCCGGTGTTAGTGATACGGTGTATTACAGTGCAGCTGGGGTTAGTGATAGTGTATTACAATGTATAGAGTGCAGCCGGGGTTAGTGATACAGTGTATTACAATGTATAGGGTGCAGCCGGTGTTAGTGATACGGTGTATTACACTGTATAGAGTGCAGCCACGGTTAGTGATACAATGTATTACAATGTACAGAGTGCAGCCACGGTTAGTGATACAATGTATAACAAGGTATAGAGTGCAGCCACGGTTAGTGATAAATACACAGTGCAGCCACTGTTAGTGCTACAATGTATTACAATGTACAGAGTGCAGCCACGGTTAGTGATACAATGTATTACAAAGTACAGAGTGCAGCCATGGTTAGTGATATAATGTATTACAAAGTGCAGAGTGCAGCCACGGTTAGTGATACAATGTATTACAAAGTGCAGAGTGCAGCCAATGTTAGTGATACAGTGTATTACAATGTATAGGGTGCAGCTGGTGTTTAGTGTTTTACTTTGTACATCTCTCTCATGCTCTTCTCATGTATCCTGGGCTGTCTGGCATTGAAAGGGTGCTGGTCCCTTTCAGGCTGAGGCGGATTCGTTGCTAGGTAATCTCTTGCTCCTCCCCTTGCTTTGAAGGAAAAGCATACGAGCCATTAAGTGCTGGAAGGTCTGCCGGGGAGCTGGGAGCCGGAGAGTGGAGATAGAAGCAGGCTTGTACTGATTGATGATGTAATCTGTGCACGGGGCGGTGGTTAGAGAGCAGATTGGGGGGACTGTGTCATTACATCTTCCAGGATCCTGGCATAGATATGGACACGCAACGCACAGGCAAACTGTGGCAAGCATAGCCTGCATTTCCAAAGCCGATGGACTGCGGCCATTTGCAAGTCATTCTGGGAAGCCGGGCATACAAGCTGCAGTCTTGGGATTTTGTCTTTTAACCCCCTCTCTCTCTCTCTCTCTCCTGCGCTCCTTTTCTTACCCTGTCCTTGTGTGAAAATGAGACAGGCACCGACAACCCGGAAGGTACCCACTCCTGTGCCCACACTCCCCTTTATTTCACATCCCTTTTTTTTCATCCCCTGCTATGCTTCGTGCCATAGTGTGTGTAGCTGTGCGTACTGTGATGTGATGGTGCCATGTAGCATGCCCTCTGTCTGTCAGTGTGAAGCTGCAGCTCCCTTTCACCCCATCTGCTATCACTGCTCATTTTATTTACTGCAGGACATTGTAAAGGTTCACTGACCAGGGCTGTCCTAACGTGTTTATTCCAATTACTAAATCCTCATATTTCATGTGTACACAATCCATGTGTTTTTGTTCAGGTAGTGGGTCATTGTAGACATGTTAATGGCAGACTGTGTGTGTGTGTGAAATCTGCTTCACATTCCTTGGTGGAAACGTGCAGTATAATCCTATTATCAGCATTAATGTGGGCCATGGAGGATTGAAGCCTCAGGATGCTACAGATTGCAGGATGATACAGTGCTTTTTGTCTGGGCAAAGTATTTTAATGGCTGGATTTGACAATGACTTTGGGCCTTAATTATAACCCCATGACTTGTGATCTGCAGACCCTGTATGTACTGCCGGCCCTTTCCTAAGGAAGCAGCTTATTGATAAGTGTCCGGCCAAGTCTGTGCTTCCAATGGATGGACCCCGTCTCTTGCTACTATTAGTACAGCTAAAATACACCCCACCTCCAAAAAATGCTTAAAATAAATCTGATCATAAAATTCCAACATAGTGTTAATGTTCCATGGACTTTCCAAATACAAAGAAACATAATATAAATGGTGATATAATGTTATACTGTGCATCCTTCAGTCTGTACAGTCTGTACTAATGTTCAAATGAAACCTGAGAGCAGAAATGGCTTTCACAGCCCTTTGCATTAATGTTTTTGAAGAAGTGTAAAAAATGACTTATTTCTTCTCTTTATCTTCCTATTAAATGAGCCATGCCAGTAATCACAGCTAAAAACATGAAATGGTTGTTTGAGGCATTGCACCTCTCCCTGGACTATGGAATGCCCAAATTAAAGATTTAATGTTTGATCCTTAGATTAGTGGAATCTTGTCAGTTTAATATCTTTTCTAATTCTTATCCTTCTAAAACGAGCAGCTCCCAAGATAACATTACTTCCACTGTCTCTACATATATATATATATACAGTTAGCTCATTAATAAGAAGTAGAAAGTTCCTGTGCGGCACATATTCCACATCCTACAACATAGTATGCCCATTGTAGTCCTACTTGGTACATCCTGGTACAGCTTCGTACTCTGGCAGAGAATAGGCCAAGTGAAATATGGCTGCAGTTTCCATTCCATTTGTGCCTATGCTTTTGTTCAACATAGTAAATGCCCAGGGGCAGCAGTTCCAGGTCCCCTTAAAGCCCTAAGATGGTATGTTGCATTAAACTTTCTTGGTTCCTAATTTCTGTAAAACGTCCAATGACCCAGGAGGCCTTGTTAATTCCTGTACAACCTGCATTGCTTTCAAATATTGATTTCTAAATGGTCTGTGGTAGGAGACTGTTTTGAACCAGACAGGCTATTTTAGGATCAAGGAAATAAAGTCTCTATAGTGGTGAGTAGAAAATCGTTACCTTAGATCAGTAAGCTAGGAGCCATTGCTGCTTACCATTAGATTCACCCCCATTGCAGAGTTTTTGAATGTTGAAGATATGATTAAAGGTGAGTCACATGCCGGGGGTTCATCCTAAGAGAGCTATCCCCTGGCACTCACAGCCATAGGTACTCCTGTGGATACTGATTATTGACCTCTGCCAGGTCAGTGCTGATACTCTGTGATGGTGGAAATAGTAGTTCTAAGGCTGTGCGGTGTTGGTAATTGCCTGCCTGTGATCTCGAATGAATTTGGCTACCTGACCAAGTTTTAACAGAATAGTGAAATAAAAAACTAAAGCCATTTTATGCTTTCTTTCTCTAAATTAGATCTTTCCTTAATACAAAGCCAGTTTTCTAATTCATCTGCGTTTGAAGGATAGACATGGTATAAATAGTACTGCTCCATTTAAACAATCTTTAAACCTGCTAGCCCCTGGGAGCAGCTCTAGCTAAATCTGGGCTGAGCATTTGCTATGGTTTCTGGCCTTGCGTTTCTTTGGCACTGTTTAATTTAAAGGGATTTTTTTTTCCCCTGCTGGGATTAGCCTGGGCTCCTGGGCTGCTCAATAATCTCTTTGTGTCCAAACCCTACTTAGCATGCCAGCCCAATATTTCCCCAGATAGGCGGAATGTGCAAGGTCAGCCTGTACCGTGCCCAGCTCCTACTGCTTGGACATTGTATTCACAACAAAAAACCTCTCAAGGGCCTTTCACGATCCTGGCACAAAAACTCTGCATGCATTGATTAATTCACACTAACAATCCCCAAAGTCTGACGGCAATTTCCATAAACTTAGAGTTTGTCAACTTGTTTTTGGCTGTAACTCCCATAATACTTAGCCTGCTATCACTTGATTAGTTCGGCCATGAGTTTAATTCTCCCTGTGCATCCTTCTATAGACATGGGGATGACATAATTCCTGTGAACTTCCCTTTTTAATTTAAACCACTGACAACACAAAGGAGCTCTGGAACATAACACATGAGATATATTGGCCTAGTTCGATATAAATGTCTGATATTTCATGCTGCCAGGTTACCTCTTCGTCTAGTACTTAATGAGTTAAACAGGGCCCAGCATGAATCTCATGAGCGACCACTTGGTGTGAGCGTTTCCTGTGGAGTCCTTTATGTTAGATGGAGTGTGACCTCTGTCCTGCTTACCTTACTGCTAGCTGTATTGGGCAGGATTTCATGTGTACTAACTGTCCTGCTGTCTTCTCTTCCTCTGCCTTCTGCCGATGCTACTCCTGTGTGTGTCTCTCTGCCTGTGACTGCCTCTGAACCGCATGCAGATTACTACCCGCCGCCCCAAGGTGAGAGCTTGCTGCCGCCAGTCACTGCATGGAATCCTGAGCTTGCTGTCAACTTTTATCTGAGCATTATGGCCCTCCAGTGGTTGTTGGTTCAACTCGAAACATCCTCAGCTAGCTATTGCTGGAGGGCCGGTGTATGACACTTCTGGTGTCTATATAATTTACAGTCTTTGTATTATTTTATTTAAATGTCCTGTAGTGCACAGTGGATTGTTATGAGAATCCAATCATATCTAGTAACTATACAGAAGTATCTTATCTAGACCTGTTGTGGCACCTTACACAATCCAGGAATTAGGGCTTGTTATTTCACAGAATGGACATTGTCTAAAGTGAGATGGCCCACTATTACCTGGATAAACATAGAGCATACGGAGATCGTTGTAATCCGTGTTTGAATATTTGTTATGAATTTATTCATCAGATACTCAAAAATGGTCTGGTAACTTCTGTGTCAGCCACTATAAGATGCCATTTACTATTCCTCTTAATGGTAGAACGTAATGTAGTGATGCTGTATGCCTCCTGTGTTGTGTTTTATTTTTGGTAAATAAGAAAATATTTAAAACATGAAGTATGTGATGATGTTTGTGGGGTGCTGTTTTTGTATAGTTATTCCTGTGATCTGGAGTCATGGGAGCTGCTTTAATGCCCTTTCTGTGCACCTGTCAACATTTCTGTATACGGTCTGTCCCATGTTCTAGTTTAGGGGTATCATTTATATGGCCTGTCCCATGTTTTAGTTTAGGGGTATCATTTATACGGACTGTCCCATGTTCTAGTTTAGGGGTAGCATTTATACGGCCTGTCCCATGTTCTAGTTTAGGGGTAGCATTTATACGGCCTGTCCCATGTTTTAGTTTAGGGGTATCATTTATACGGACTGTCCCATGTTCTAGTTTAGGGGTAGCATTTATACGTTTTGTCTCATGTTCTAGTTTAGGGGTATCATTTATACGTTCTGTCCCATGTTCTAGTTTAGGGGTATCATTTATATGGTCTGTCCCATGTTTTAGTTTAGGGGTAGCATTTATACGGTCTGTCCCATGTTCTAGTTTAGGGGTAGCATTTATACGGTCTGTCCCATGTTCTAGTTTAGGGGTATCATTTATACGGCCTGTCCCATGTTCTAGTTTAGGGGTAGCATTTATACGGACTGTCCCATGTTCTAGTTTAGGGGTAGCATTTATACGGTCTGTCCCATGTTCTAGTTTAGGGGTAGCATTTATACGGTCTGTCCTATGTTCTAGTTTAGGGGTATCATTTATACGGTCTGTCCCATGTTCTAGTTTAGGGGTTAGCATTTATACTGTCTGTCCCATGTTCTAGTTTAGGGGTATCATTTATACGGTATGTCCCATGTTCTAGTTTAGGGGTATCATTTATACGGTCTGTCCCATGTTCTAGTTTAGGGGTTAGCATTTATACGGTCTGTCCCATGTTCTAGTTTAGGGGTAGCATTTATACGGCCTGTCCCATGTTCTAGTTTAGGGGTAGCATTTATACGGTCTGTCCCATGTTCTAGTTTAGGGGTATCATTTATACGGACTGTCCCATGTTCTAGTTTAGGGGTATCATTTATACGGTCTGTCCCATGTTCTAGTTTAGGGGTAGCATTTATACGGTCTGTCCCATGTTCTAGTTTAGGGGTATCATTTATACGGTCTGTCCCATGTTCTAGTTTAGGGGTATCATTTATACGGACTGTCCCATGTTCTAGTTTAGGGGTATCATTTATACGGTCTGTGCCATGTTCTAGTTTAGGGGTATCATTTATACGGTATGTCCCATGTTTTAGTTTAGGGGTAGCATTTATACGGTCTGTCCCATGTTCTAGTTTAGGGGTATCATTTATAAGGTATGTCCCATGTTCTAGTTTAGGGGTATCATTTATACGGACTGTCCCATGTTCTAGTTTAGGGGTAGCATTTATACGGACTGTCCCATGTTCTAGTTTAGGGGTATCATTTATACGGTCTGTCCCATGTTCTAGTTTAGGGGTAGCATTTATACGTTCTGTCCCATGTTCTAGTTTAGAGGCAGCATTTATACGGACTGTCCCATGTTCTAGTTTAGGGGTAGCATTTATATGGTCTGTCCCATGTTCTAGTTTAGGGGTAGCATTTATACGGTCTGTTCCATGTTCTAGTTTAGGGGTATAATTTATACGGCCTGTCCCATGTTCTAGTTTAGGGGTATCATTTATACGGTCTGTCCCATGTTCTAGTTTAGGGGTATCATTTATACGGACTGTCCCATGTTCTAGTTTAGGGGTATCATTTATACGGTCTGTGCCATGTTCTAGTTTAGGGGTATCATTTATACGGTATGTCCCATGTTTTAGTTTAGGGGTAGCATTTATACGGTCTGTCCCATGTTCTAGTTTAGGGGTATCATTTTATGCGGTGTCTCATGTTCTAGTTTAGGGTACATCATTTATCGGTCTGTCCCATGTTCTAGTTTAGGGGTATAATTTTATATGGTATGTCCCATGTGTTCTAGTTTAGGGTATCATTATCTGGTATGTCTCATGTTCTAGTTTAGGGGTATCATTTATGCGGTCTGTCCATGTTCTGGATTTTGGGGTGTTTTATACTGGTTTATCCCATGTTCGGGTATCCGTTTATCTGTCCATGTTCCTAGTTGGGGTATCATTTATGGGTCTGTTCCATGTTCTAGTTTGATTTATCATTTATAAGGTCTGTTCCTTGTTCTACCAGTTTGGGGTATCAGTTTAAGGTCTTTCCATGTTGTTCTAGTTTAGGGGTGTTATCGAATTACCCTGGGTCTGTCCCATGTTCTAGTTTAGGGGTATCATTTATACGTTCTATCCCATGTTCTAGTTTAGGGGTTAGCATTTATATGGTCTGTCCCATGTTCTAGTTTAGGGGCAGCATTTATACGTTCTGTCCCATGTTCTAGTTTAGGGGTTAGCATTTATATGGTCTGTCCCATGTTCTAGTTTAGGGGTAGCATTTATATGGTCTGTCCCATGTTCTAGTTTAGGGGTATCATTTATACGTTCTATCCCATGTTCTAGTTTAGGGGTTAGCATTTATATGGTCTGTCCCATGTTCTAGTTTAGGGGCAGCATTTATACGTTCTGTCCCATGTTCTAGTTTAGGGGTTAGCATTTATATGGTCTGTCCCATGTTCTAGTTTAGGGGTAGCATTTATACGGTCTGTCCCATGTTCTAGTTTAGGGGTATCATTTATACGTTCTATCCCATGTTCTAGTTTAGGGGTAGCATTTATACGGCCTGTCCTATGTTATAGTTTCGTGCTATCATTTATACGTTCTGTCCCATGTTCTAGTTTAGGGGTTAGCATTTATATGGTCTGTCCCATTGTCCAGTCTGGACGATTCTTTCCTTTTATCTGTCTTGCACTTCCAATGGTGTATGAGAGTTATATGGTTTGTCCCATTGCTACCAATCATATAATGTAAACTGGTTTTATTCATGTGTTGCGAGGGTAGGATATTTTTAATTTTAATAAAAATGCACTTTTCATTTTTCATACGTAAATGGATTCCCTCCCAATGGGGTGCTATTTAATGCAAATTAGGATAGGTTCTTAGATGGGATATGCTAATTATATTTGTGCCGCGGAGATATTTCACCCAGAACTATTCCCTCCCCGAAGACTAACAGTGTCTTTGATAATCTCGATCACCCCTTAAATACCACGGACTACGCAATGCGCTTGGCTCATATTGACAGCCCTTGAATATTACATTAAAGCTGAAAGAGGCTGTTGAATAATTAAAACAGTTACATTTTTTGTAATATAGAGAGAGAAAGTGGTGTGGGTTGCTGTCACAATTCACCATTTTACTCTAGGAAGAGGCACGTGACAGAGATGGTATCATAATCCCCTATACGCTGAATGCAGCAATGTTTTCCTAACACCATTCTATATCGTTACTGAATGCTTCTGCAAGGCTTATTTTCCATACCCACTACTCTTCAATTTACCCCACCTACAATCCTTAGGCTGACTTCCTGTGTCCTTAAAGGGACCATAACCATTATATGCTGAAAACAGGAGATCCTGACACACCTTCCTCCCTGCCTACACTAATTAGAATTGCTAATACAGGAGTTCTGTTTCTACTTAACAATATGAGTTTCATTCTCATTTATGTCATTGATTTGTTTTGTGTTAGCTGTCTTGCATAGCCAATCTGTGACTTCCAACTATGAATGCAAGTAATATTTGCTAATGTGGAAGTGTGAACTATGTGTTCAGACATATAAGTGAAGTTGAAAGGGCTTTTAATGAAGAAGAAAAAAAAAAGTTGATAAGAAATTGTTAGCAAGCAACAACCATAATTGTGTTTACAACCAGGTAACCTGAAATTGTACAGAAATATCTTTGAAACAAAGGCATACATAGACAAATATCCACGGCAGACTGCCAGGAGTCAGACTATGTAACAATGTCCCACGTTAAACTAAAACAAGAATCTAAACTACGTACGTGCATAGAAACATAGAATGTGAAGGCAGATAAGAGCCATTTGGCCCATCTTGTCTGCCCAATTTTCTCAATACTTGCAGTTTAGTCTCTTATATCTAGGATACCCTTATGCGTATCCCACGCATGCTTAAACTCCCTCACTGTGTTAACCTTTACCACTTCAGCTGGAAGGCTATTCCATGCGCACACTACCCTCTCAGTAAAGTAATATATACACCAAGAAAACATTTTTATATTGCAAACAGTCAATAAGGAAGCAAAGAAAAGTTGCGTATAGTGAGTATGATAAGTCCGCAAGTGCTGAACAAAGGGTCCCCTTAGTTAACGCTCCTTAGGAGGATCACAGGCAAAGCAGAAACAAACTCTGGTAGTGAATAAAGAAGGCAGTGAAATATCTCTAAATGAGTTCTGGGAGCAGGGATGAGATAACCGTCAGAAGCAATGCTGTCAATATGGACTGCAGACAGAAAAGGTAGAAGGAAAGACGAAGGAGAAGAAAGAAGTGCCAAGTAAGAGGAACACTTCGCACACTTTCCTCCTATAGCATGCGTTTCCAGTATTCTACCTTCGTACTCCACAACTAATCTGTCATATAACCTTCCATACATAGTGTATAATAGCAGTCATTCTTCCATTCTCAGTTTATTGCCTTTTACTTGTTGTTAATCGTATCTCGCTCCATTTACATTGTAATATCCATCTCTTATTCCGATCTTTTTACCTAAATGTATTACTTGTATGTGTGTGTATCCATTGCGCAACATTGTGTGAATTGTTGGTGGCAAATTAGCTGCTACCATTGAACATTAAATATCCCGTTATTTACTAGAAGAGTATCAAGTGTCTAGAAACAGATTTTCAATGTTGACAATGTATATAATATAGTATTTTCCTTTTCTAGGTTTATCTAGCACATAACATATTGGAATGTGCATTGGTGTGTATCAGTGTATCAATTTACTAAAAATCTAGAATACATATTATTGTATGTATTGTGGATATTCTGCTTCCAGATGTGTTCTAGATCACATTCCTAATTGTGTCTTATCTGAATGAAATATATATTTAGGTCATTGTCCCCTCTCTATGTGTCATGTGAGGATGTATTCTAGATCATGGCCCAGTACGTGCAGATTGGATTTTCTTTGGCACATTCACGACTGCTTTCTCTGTTCTTCTGTTAAATGTGTTCTAGGTCATGTTCCTCTGTGCACTGTGTGTTCAATCAGATTTATTCTAGATCAAAGACCTATCTGTGTTCAGCTTCTAGATGTATTCTAGAATATACGGTATATGCACATACCTTTTCTCCGATATAGTCTAGTCCTCACTATATCCAGTGTGAGTGTTTTGCCTCTGTCTGAGGTATTTTGGATCCCTGTCCTTTCTATGTACAGTGTATGGTTTGTTTCATTCTGGTGTATTCTAGATCCTAGTGAGGGGGTGCATGTCTATCTGTCAGATATGCTATGCAGTACATCCAGCATTATAAGTTGCACCATTGCACATAAAAAAAAAAAAAAAGGTAAATTAAATCTGTTTACGTAAGAGACTTTATTATTTATTAAACTTGGAGAGCTATCTCAAACTTTTGAGTTCTGACAGATCCTGTTATCCTCTCCTTTCTACTTCACCATTTCCTATTCTTCAGATGTTTGGGAAGCTGTGCAGTTTTATTCATTAAGGGAATAATATGATCATTATCTACATGCAATGCTGATCAGAGCTTAGATATTGTAGATTATGTGCTTCCTTATTATGGTCTGCTGTGCCATGATTATAAAACAAAATTATGATTATTTAGAAAGTTACTCCAGTGCTGTGTTGGAGTACGTCTTTCTTTGCCTACTTATATAATGAATGAGTAATGACTGTCTTGCTGGATAATGTTTGCTTGCCAGCCTACTCGGCCCTCCAGTTCAGCAGCCTCCAGTGGAACTGCAGGGGCCTCTGGCTCTGCATCTGCATCATGTGGAGAGATCAGCAGCAGCGAACCCAGTACTCCGGCCCAGACACCGCTGGCAGCGCCCGTCATCCCCTCACCCTCTTCTGCTCTCACCTCGCCGGTGGCCCCACTCCCAACACCAGGGCCAAGCAAGGTAAAATATCACCTTAGCATATATCAGTGATATCTGTTCTCTTCCACCATGCTATTATTATGTCCTTAATGAACAATAAATGTTGCCTAGTAGATACACCAGGACTTAACAAATTTGTTTGGAATCTAGAAGCCAGCTAAAAAAAAGTAAGGAGCCAGATTTTATTTTTTTTTTTTTAAACTGACAGTTTCCTTTTCAACAAGAAAAATGCAGTTCTTAAGGGGACATTATAGTAATGCAGTTGTTCTGGTGTGTATAGCCTGTCCATGCAGGCTTTTCAGTGTAAACATTGCCTTTTCAGAGAAACGTAACCTAGTAACACCTCTAGTGACAGTCACTCAGACGGCCACTAGTGGGTCCTGGGACAGCATCTATGTTCAGCATCTCTATGAGAGGATGCTGATTGGCGCAGTGCTGTGTCCTATGGGAAAGCATTGACTTAGCTAAGATCATAAAGATTGATGATCTCCGACATGGAGGAGGGACCAGCTGTGGGGGATAACTTGAGCAAAAACACCTTTCCCATGCGATTTGATGGGGTGTCACCTAGACAGACACACACACACTCTCACTCTGACAGACACACACACACTCTCACTCTGACAGACACACACACTCTCTCTCACTCTGACAGACACACACACTCTCTCTCTCACTCTGACAGACACACACACACAAACACTCTCTGACAGACACACAAAAACACTCTCTGACAGACACACACTCTCTGACAGACACACACATTTTCTTACTCAGAAGTTGACATTTTTATTTTAATTTACATTCACCCTCCCCCCCCCTACCTTTAGGAGAGCTGAAGTGGATCCTTTCCCTGGGGTTCATTGTGGCTTCTCTTTTATCCTTCTGCGGTTTCTAAAAAGCGCTTGAGGGAACAGAGAGGAACTGCAGGAAGATTATTGCTCCCATGCTCACAGCCTCCTTTTTACCTCAGCCGGTCAGCTCCAATACTGCCACAGGCAGCTGCCTTCGCTGAAGAGATGGCAAATGCCATGCGCCAGGACAAAGTTTCTAGTCATCATGTCGACTTGGCGCCTAGGATTTGTTGAGCCCTGAGATACACTGATTAGCCATAACATTAAAACCACTGACAGATGACATGACTAACAAGAGCCAGATAGTGAGTGCTAGAACAACAAATTCGATCCATGGATGCCCCACCTCGCAATGTGTTGGTGCCAAATACCACAGGACACTTCCAGAGGTCTTGTGGAGTCCATGCCTCACTGCATCAGACCTGTAATGGCAGCACAACTTGTAACAATATTAGGCTACACAATATTAGGCTTGTGGTTTTAATGTTGTTGCTGATCTATGTATATGTTCAATAAATTGTCTTATAGGAGTCATGTCATATTGAGTCTGTACCAGAATAGGTTTTGGTTCTCATTTTGGGGGCACCTTCCAGTTTGTACCTTTTGTTATTGTTTTTCCCCTTTACTGCAGGAAGAGGAGAATCTGCGAGCCCAGGTCAAAGACTTGGAGGAGAAACTAGAGACCTTAAAGATGAAGCGGGCTGAGGACAAGTCTAAACTGAAGGAGCTGGAAAAATCTAAACTTCAGCTGGAACAGCTGCAAGAATGGAAGAGCAAGATTCAAGAGCAACAAGCAGACCTCCAGCGGCAGCTCAAGGAAGCCAAGAAGGTGAGATATGCCTCCCGTTGTCTGCATATTTTATCAATGATACTTGTCGTAAAGCACATGTAAAATAGTCAAGACACATACTCAAAAACATACGCATATAAAATCAGGGCAGGTAAACTAGGCCAGTTATGTATCAGCAGTATTCTATTTATTTGCCACTGCTCCTTGGGTCCCTACACCTCTACAGCCATTAACTGGAGAACACAATTGGAGTTCTGTGCATCTTTTTACTTTAAAAGGACACATCTGTTCTTGTTAAAAAACCAGTACAGTGTATAAGCGAGTTAATGTTTACAGGAAGCCAAAGAGGCTCAAGAAGCTCGAGAACGTTACATGGAGGAGATGTCTGACACTGCTGACGCCATTGAGATGGCCACTCTTGACAAAGAGATGGCAGAAGAGCGAGCAGAATCCTTGCAGCAGGAAGTTGAGACCTTGAAAGAGAAGGTGGAGGAACTCACCATGGACCTTGAGATTATAAAGCATGAAATAGAAGAGAATGGTAATTTATGAATTTATGAAAAACTGTTGGAAAAAAATATGGCAAGTAGAGTTGGTTGGTGGGGTTAATGGAGGGCGATACCATATATTCCTTGTCTTTTCAGATTGATATGGTTATACACTATTTTGACTTGCATTTGTTACTCACGAGATGATATTTTAATTTATATTTCATCTTTGCGGTCACAGAATAAATTGATGTTAAGAAATAATAAATATTCCATACTTACTAAATCATTTGAAATGTATTATATAGTAGAAGCATGGGATAGCCTGTTAGTGAATTAGGACTGCAGTTCTAGGATTGTCTGCAATCCGTCCAGGATTGGAAGTTACATGAAGAACCGTTGCATAGTTATTTAAAGTAGATAGCGCTATGTGATTGTGGTGCTTCATGCAGTATTTCCTTTGACCTCAGGTTCAGATGGAGCTGCGTCCAGTTATCAGGTCAAACAACTGGAGGAACAGAACACCCGACTAAAGGAAGCTCTGGTCAGGTAAATCTTCCACTATTCGTTCAGTTTGTTTGCTGTGGATTTTCAATCCGCACAGTCAGCCATCACCGAACATGACAGCGACCATGACTTGGGAGATTGCAGAGCGCATCCACAGTGCAAATTTGTGACTCCATTGCGTGATAACTGTGAATAGCTGAGTGCACCTTTTGATAGCGGTTAGAACCCTGGAATTGTTGAGTGTCCCCTATGTTAGCAGCAGTTGGCGGTGTGAACCCTGGAATTGCTGAGTGCACCCTATGTTAGCTGTAGTTGGCAGTGTAAACCCTGCACCCTATGTTAGCAGCAGTTGGCGGTGTGAACCCTGGAATAGCTGAGTGCACCCTATGTTAGCTGTAGTTGGCAGTGTAAACCCTGCACCCTATGTTAGCAGCAGTTGGCAGTGTAAACCCTGGAATAGCTGAGTGCACCCTATGTTAGCAGCAGTTGGCAGTGTAAACCCTGCACCCTATGTTAGCAGCAGTTGGCAGTGTAAACCCTGGAGTTGCTGAGTGCACCCTATGTTAGCTGTAGTTGGCAGTGTGAACCCTGGAATTGCTGAGTGCACCGTATGTTAGCAGCAGTTGGCGGTGTGAACCCTGGAATTGCTGAGTGCACCCTATGTTAGCAGTAGATAGCGGTTTGAACCTTGGAATTGCTGAGTGTCCCCAGCAGTTGGCGGTGTGAACCCTGGAACCATGATTTATTGTCACATATCTGATGTTTGCAGGATGCGAGATCTTTCAGCCTCTGAGAAGCAGGAACACGTCAAGGTTCAGAAACAGTTGGAGAAAAAAAATACTGAGCTGGACACGTTAAGGCAGCATAAAGAGAAGCTACAGGAGGAGGGCTCTCAAATGGAGAAGACCATTGATGAACTGAAAGAACAGGTTAGTGATTTATGATGTGCTCAAGTTATTAAATAAAATCAGTTCTTCCCTGTCTCAGGGTCATCTGTGATTCAAGACCTGGGAACAACATCATTAAGGAAAGCTCATGAAAAGGGATTTAATTAGATCCCCTGCTTCCTGACTGCTTAAAATATTTAGCCCCTTTCTTTAGAGCTTTACGTTGCCACCTACTAAGAAGATGTAATATGGTCTTCTGCACCATGGTCCTAACGTTTAATTTCATGAAACAAGACCTCATATGGTACACTTTTGCAGTTTGTGGGTATAATATGACCACATGTACTGACTCCTGGGCTAGAAATGACAAGCACACAATCTGTAAAGAAAAATAGACTAACCCCACCAGGAGGTATAAATCAGGCTTGCACTAGACATTGAAGTAAATCACATTAAAGCAGCTCTAATCTGCTTCTTTATAGCTCCCTGTGTCTGAATATTTGTGCTCTAGTTTTCATAAAATATATAAGGCAATGTGGGGACTAATTTTCCTCATGTACAGTGGTCAGGTTGACAAAACTGGGAATGAGCAGAGCTTAAAGCAAAGTTCGGTTTACTCACAATCCATCAGTAAGCTGAAGACCACAAAAGGGCGAACAGCAGACCTGATAGGCACAGGAGAAAAAAATGGATGCACCCAGATATTAAGATCTGGCACAAGGAAAACAAGATAACTATAAATAGAGGCAAGTGGAAAGAGAGATGGTATAATCATTTCGATACAGGTGGCATAAGGAAGGAAAAAAAAAAAATATGACAGGGCCGCTTTAATAATAAACGCTGCAGGCTCCCTTCATCCAGCGCAGAGAAAATGATTGCCCTGTATGAACAGGAATGCCTGTACCAACCAATCAGAGAGCCTATTGGCTGTGTCTAAAGATAGTTTAGTTCTCAGATTGGTGGATACTAGAGACTAGCTGCCATCACAAAGAATCACATACAGGGCCGACGCAGAGACATTTTACTTTGGTTAAACTGTGTTTTTCATTGCATCACTCAGTGGAGTCAATATAGAGTTTATTCAATTAACCCCTTAACGACGATTGACGGAAATTTTCCGTCAAGGCAGACCTACCCTTAAGGACGCTTGCCGGAAAATTTCCGTCAATTACTAAAGTTAACGCCAGATCGCGGCGATCGTGGAGTTAACGCTGTTGGTGGGTGCCTCGGCGTGGGAGGAATACCAGCAACAGCCAATAGCGCTATCCCAGCACATGTGATTGCTGTGACAGCCAGTCACAGCGATCACAGTGCTGCTGGGACTTCTGATCCTCCTCCCTCCACCTCTGTGTGTGTTTAGAAGTAGAGAGAGATCATTTGCAACAATGTGTCCCTTGCCGACACACAGTGTTTTACCTGTGAAAATTAACAAGGGATTAACCCTTTGATCACTGACAGCAGTGATCACAATACTGATCACGGTATTTTACTGTGATCAGAGGGTTTTTTGTTTTTTTTTAGAAAGTTCTTAAAAGTATAAAAACAAAAAGAGAAAAAAAAAAGTAGTTTCTGTTTTTACCCACAGGGGTTACTTTAAAAAAAAAAAAAGTTTTTAGAAGTTTTAGAAAGTTATTAAGAGTTTTATAAAAGTATTTTAAAAAAGTTCAGAAAACAAATACGTAATTTAGTTAAAGTTAATTTTAAGCTTTCACCATGCTTAGAAGGTTTAGTGCCAAGGAGGCATATAATATATTAGCGGCCGACACGGAGGCAACCGACATTACCTCAGAGAGTGCAGTGGGTGACTGTGCCAGACACAGATGAAGAAAGTGACGATACCCCTGGTGCTGATAACTGGGTGCCTACTAACAATTTTGTCCCCTTTTATGGAGCTGTTCCTTGGGGGTGACTTTTTAGGACCGATTGTTACACAGACAAATATTTATGCAGCGCAGTATCTGTCACAAAATGCAGCAAGTCACCTTGCCACAAAAGGTAGCTAACCATGCTAATGGGTATTATAAAAAAGCCCAGCATCCGAATGTACTGGTCTTAAAACCCAGTATGCAACACTCCCATTTTCTCTCAGACCATGAATAGGCCCAGATACGTATCAATACTGTGTTTTCTGCACTTGTGCAATGATAATTCGAAGTGCCACCCTAGAGATCATGCGCAGTATGATAAACTTTATAAAATCCGCCCTCTAATTAACCATTTTAATGAAGAATTTGGCATAATTTATGCTCCCCAAAAGAATATATGTATTGACGAGTCCCTAATGAAATACAAGGGTAGACTGGGGTTTAAGCAATACATCCCAGCCAAAAGATCCCGGTATGGCATCAAGCTATACAAGTTATGTGAAAGTAGCAGTGGGTATGTTTATACCTTCAGAGTATATGAAGGTAAAGATAGCCACCAGGATCCCCCAGGTTGCCCTGATGTAGTTGGGACTAGCTGAAAAATTGTTTGGGATCTAATGAACCCGCTACTGAACAAGGGGTACCACCTCTACCTTGATAATTATTACAATAACATACCCCTCCAGAAAATGCTATATTGTTTTGAGACTGTGGTCTGCGGCACTATCCGCAAGACACGCACTGGCTTCCCCAAGGCTCTGGCAGAGAAAAAAATTAAAAAGGGGGAAACGGCTGCTCTCTGCCAGGACGAACTGCTGGCTCTGAAATACAGAGACAAAAAGGAGGTGTTCATACTGACTACCATGCACAGTGAACACACACGCAGGGCCGCAGTTCGAGGCAGACAGGAAACAAGACGGCTGCCTGTCTGCATTAAGCAATACAATAAACACATGGGGGGAGTTGACCTGTCTGATCAACTGCTGCAGCCATATCTGATAATGAGAAAGACCAGGGCCTGGTATAAGAAAATGGCCATTTATTTAATGCAAATGGCTACTCACAATGCAGTCATCCTTTTCAAAAAGGCAAATCCTCAGCTGAAATTTACTTTTCTTACATTTCAGTTTTAGCTAATTTCTGTGCTGCTCACTGAGTGCCACAGCGGAGAGCCGTCAGCAGGACCTAGCAGCAGAGATATTCAGACAGGTCACTTCTGCTTTCGGATACCACCAACCCACAAATATGAGATACCCTGCAGTGTCTACTTTCACGAAAGGGAGGCCTTTGTGTGGTCATTTATTATTATTATGTTATTATATAGCGCCAACAAATTCCGCAGTGCTTTACAGTGGGTGGCCGAACATACGTAGTTTGAACAACCAAACTACTATAATGCCCCGAAATAACACAGGTTCATTAAATCCATCTTTGAATTTTCTTATTGTAGAAACTTAAATAGTCTGGCCTCTTATAGGTCATGGTAGCTTCCCAAAATAGTGGCAAAGGCACACAATGGGGGTATTGTTGTACTCAGCAGATGTAGCTGAACACAAAATGGGATTTTGACCAGGAATAGCACACAACAGCTTTACAAAATACACATTTAAAAAACCTTGTTATATGTGTGTGTGTATTTCAAAAAACTGAAAAAACACAATTTTACTACAATATTTAGCAGCGATTGGTGGGGAAATGGCTATGAAAAAAGTGTCAAAATACCTTTAAGTAGCCTGTGATGTCTTCTTTATATAAATATATACTTTTGTGTAGCAATTTTGTCTTCTGTGACGGCTGTTAAACTTACAAATCAAACATACCAACGTCTAAATTTTTTTCACATTTAAATTTTATATTACTCCTTGTATTTTGTGACCTGTAACTTTTAAAATAAGCTGAAATCCTTTACATATTATGCACTTTGAAAAACAAGACACCTAAATGAATTTATTTTGAATTACTTTTCCTAGGCTTGACATATTATGCACATATTATTATTGCCAAAACTGTGAAAAAAGGGGTTTTTTTCTTTTCATTTTTACATTTTTTTTAATAATAAATTAGATTTTATAGATGTATGTCACATCAAAGTAAAGCCCATTTTGTCTTTTAAAAACCTAAATATTATATGTGTTGATGCAATAAATGAGAGCGATGCAAATTGCAGTTGAACACAAACAGCAAAAAATGCAAAAATAGCTTGTGTCCTTAAGGGTATATCCAGCTACTGAAGCTGCGTCCTTAAGGGGTTAATGTCATGGCCGTGCATCTTGTATCTCGTAGTGGCTTTTGTACTTCTTGTTTTCTCATTTTTGTAGAACACATAACTACAATTTAGCCTAAAGATATATTTCTCTCCCACTGCAGTGCCAGGACAGAGCACTTGTAATAATTGTTATTTAGTCGTTCAGTCGTGTCCAACTCTCCGTGACCACATGGACCATAGCACGTCAGATACATCGGTCAGTCACTGCCCCTCTGAGTTCCAACAACTTCATGTTTGTTGCTTCAGTGACCTCATCTATCCATCCCCTTCTTTGTGTGCCTTCCATCTTTCCCAGCATCAGAGTCTCTAGATAATCTTGCCTTCTCATTATATGGCCAAAATATTTGAGCTTCAGCCTCATGATCATAGCTTCCAGTGAACAGTTTGTCTTGATTTCCTATAGTACGGATTTATTGGATCTTCTTGCAATCCAAGGGATTCTAAGCGGTTTTCGCCAACACCACAGTTCAGAGGTATCAATTCTACGACGCTCAGCCTTCTTTATAGTCCAGCTCTCACATCCGTATGTTACTACTGGGAATACCATAGTTCTGACTATGCGGACCTTTGTTGATAGTGTAATATCTTTAGTTTTTACCAGCTTGTCCAAGCTTGCCATAGTTTTCCTCCCCCAAAACTCTAGCCTTTTAATTTAATGACTGCAGTCACCATCTGAAGAGATCTTGGCCTCCACTTCTTCCCCATCTATTTTCCAGGAACTAAGATTGCGGTTTGCTATGATCTTAGTCTTTTTAACATCAAGCAGCAAGCCAGCTTTTGCACTCTCTTCTTTTACCCTCATCAACAGGTCCTTTAGTTCTTCCTCCCTTTCAGCCATCAGAGTAGTATCATTCGCGTATCTCAGGTTGTTGATCTTTTGATTCCAGCTTTGGATTCATCCAGCCCAGCCTAACGCATTATGTATTCCGCATATATAAGTTTAAATAAATAAGGTGACAGTATACACCTTGTCGCACTCCTTTCCCAATCTAGAACCATTCTGCTGTCCCATGTTAGGTTCTGACTGTGACTTCTTGGTCCACATACAGATTCCTCAGGAGGCAGATGAGATGATCTGGTACTCCCATCTCTTTAAGAGATCAAAGGCTTTAGAATAGTCTATGAAGTAGAAGTAGGTGTTTTTCTGGAAATCTCTGGCTTTCTCTATTATCCATCGTACATTGGCAAATTGATCTCTTGTGCCTCGTCCTCTGCGGAACCCAGCTTGTACATCTGGTAATTCCCGGTCCATATATTGTTTGAGTCAAGCTTGTAGGATCTTAAGAATTACCTTGCTGGCATGCAAAATTAGTGCAATTGTTCGATAATTGGAGCACTCTTTGGCATTGCCTTTTTTTAGGATTGGGCTGTAGACTGACCTTTTCATGCTTTTTGGCCACTGTTGCGTTATCCAAATGTATCCATATATAGTTATCTTAGCAAAATTACTGGAGTGGGTTGCTAGTTCCTTCTCCAGTGGACCGCGATTTGTCTGACTTCTCTGCTATGACCTGCCCATCTTGGGTGCCCCTACATGGTATAGCTCATAGCTTCATTGAAGTACATAAGCCTCTTCAACACAGCAAGGTAGTGTTCCAGAAGGGGTGTAATAATTAGCTTAATTCAAATATGATTTAGTTGTCTTAAAATAGAATTATTTTTTTGGGATAGAGTCATCCTTACTGGCATAAATTAAGCTATCAAACAATAAACTCCTCTGATTGGCCGAGGCAACCCAATCCTCATCCCTGGAGGGTTTACAACATCACAGGGGCTAGGCTGAGGAAGGACTTCAGCGGTGTGCTGAATTTTATATCTAAAATTTACATCAGCATCTTAGAACTCTAGTCCTGAGCAGCTAATGATGCTGCTGGAGGTGATGATACACATCTGGAAGCAAACCTGAATAAATCTGAAACACTACACATACAGACTCCAAGCACCATCAAATCACTGGAATGGTCATGGTGCTTGGAGTAACCCTCAAAGGTTAGGGGGTGGAATAAAGCAGTTTAAATGTACACTATAGTCACCAGAACAACAAATTTTATGTAGTTGTTCTGTTGTCAATGGTGTGTTCCTGCAGGTTTTTATTGTAAACACTGCCTTTTCAGGGAGTGTACAGCACTTGATTCAATACATCTTTATGAAGAGATGCATGGCAAAATGCTGCACTGCTCCAATCTGCGTGTGTAACAGCCTCCCAATGCTTTCCTATGGGAAAACATTCCAGTGGCTGAGATAATTAAGTTTGAGGATCTCAGCCGTGGAGGCGCTGTGAGGCGGGGCCAGCCGTGGTGAGTAAAATCGCCTTTTTACTGGCCGGGGACATAAATAGTGATTTTTACCAGTATAGTGTTAGGAATACATGTTTATGTTCCTGACACTATAGTGTTACTTTAAGCACTGTTTACATGGAGGTCAGTGTATGAAGCTATATTCCATCTATACTAAGTAAAACAATACCAACTGATTGGCGCATTCTGGACGGTCTCACTGCAATGTCCTGTAGTGAGCGTTCATGCTATAGTCAGAACCATGACATGAATTGTAAGTGTGGTGATGAAATGACCAGTAATGCCTCATCTAGTCACTTAGGTCTCTGACTCTTGTTTTATAGGTAGATGCAGCTCTTGGAGCTGAAGAGATGGTGGAGACTCTGGCTGAAAGGAACCTGGATCTAGAAGAGAGAGTGCGCGAGCTGCGGGAGACCGTCAGTGATTTGGTAAGCGAGATAGACGTGTCACGTGAAAACTAAAACTCAGCCCACTGCTTTGTGAGCTCTCACACACATACTGTGTGCATGTTACTGCCTCTTCTACTCAGCACCCCATGTATAGTACATAAACTATCACTCTGCAGAATTCACACACATCCTGTGTAGTATTATCATTCACACACATCCTGTGTAGTATTATTATTATTATTATGATGATATTTATAGAGCGCCGTCAAATTCCGCAGCGCAATGGGTGGACGAACGGACATGTAGTTGTAACCAGACAAGTTGGACACACCGGAACAGAGTGGTTGAGGGCCCTGCTCAATGAGCTTACATGCTAGAGGGAGTGGGGTAAAATGACACAAAAAGGTAAGGATAGTATTAGACTAGTGACAGTTGCAGAAGAGGAGCTATTAACAGTCAGGAGCTATTAACAGTTTAATTGATACGCTTTTGTGAAGAAGTGGGTTTTTAACGATTTTTTTTAAGGAGTGGAGACTGGGTGAGCATCTAACGGAGGAGGGAAGCGAGTTACACAGGAACGGTGCAGCCCTCGAGAATTAGCGCTGTACAGTGGGTGGACTAACCGACACGTATTTGTAACCAGACAAGTTTGACGCTCAGGAACACAGGGATGGAGGGCCCTGCTCAATGAGCTTACTCAGGGAGTGGGGTATAGTGACACAAAAGGTAAGAGTAGCATAGAAAAATAGGTTGCTAGCATAGTATTCATTGAGGGCTTAGTGTTTTGTTTTGATGACAGTTTCAGGAGAGGATCAGGGTGCGGGGAGGGAAAGCTGTTTACATTTTAATTGATATGCTTAGTACATAAACCATTACTCTGCTTCATTCACACACACCCTATGTATAGTACATAAACCATCAGTCTGCTTCATTTACACATACCCTGTGTATAGTACATAAACCATCACTCTGCATCATTCACACACATCCTGTGTATAGTACATAAACCATCACTCGGCATCATTCACACACATCCTGTGTATAGTGCATAAACCATCACTCTGCATCATTCACACACATTCTGTGTATAGTACATAAACCATTACTGTGCTTCATTCACTAAAACCATCACTCTGCATCATTCACACACACCCTGTGTATAGTACATAAACCATCACTCTGCATCATTCACACACATTCTGTGTATAGTACATAAACCATTACTCTGCTTCATTCACTCATACCCTGTGTATAGTACATAAACCATCACTCTGCATCATTCACACACATCCTGTGTATAGTACATAAACCATCACTCTGCATCATTCACACACATCCTGTGTATAGTACATAAACCATTACTGTGCTTCATTCACTCAAACCATCACTCTGCATCATTCACACACACCCTGTGTATAGTACATAAACCATCACTCTGCATCATTCACACACATCCTGTGTATAGTACATAAACCATTACTCTGCTTCATTCACTCATACCCTGTGTATAGTACATAAACCATCACTCTGCATCATTCACACACATCCTGTGTATAGTACATAAACCATTACTCTGCTTCATTCACTCATACCCTGTGTATAGTACATAAACCATCACTCTGCATCATTCACACACACCCTGTATATAGTTCATAAACCATTACTCTGCTTCATTCACTCATACCCTGTGTATAGTACATAAACCATTACTCTGCATCATTCACACACACCCTGTATATAGTTCATAAACCATTACTCTGCTTCATTCACACACATCCTGTATATAGTTCATAAACCATTACTCTGCTTCATTCACACACATCCTGTGTATAGTACATAAACCATCACTCTGCATCATTCACTCATACCCTGTGTATAGTACATAAACCATCACTCTGCATCATTCACTCATACCCTGTGTATAGTACATAAACCATCACTCTGCATCATTCACTCATACCCTGTGTATAGTTCATAAACCATCACTCTGCATCATTCACACACACCCTGTATATAGTTCATAAACCATTACTGTGCTTCATTCACACACATCCTGTGTATAGTACATAAACCATCACTCTGCATCATTCACACACACCCTGTATATAGTTCATAAATCATTACTCTGCTTCATTCACACACATTCTGTGTATAGTACATAAACCATCACTCTGCATCATTCACACACATCCTGTGTATAATACATAAACCATCAATCTGCATCATTCACACACACCCTGTTTATAGTACATAAACCATCACTCTGCATCATTCACACACATCCTGTATATAGTTCATAAACCATTACTCTGCTTCATTCTCACACATCCTGTGTATAGTACATAAACCATCACTCTGCATCATTCACACACACCCTGTTTATAGTACATAAACCATCACTCTGCATCATTCACACACATCCTGTGTATAGTACATAAACCATCACTCTGCATCATTCACACACACCCTGTGTATAGTACATAAACCATCACTCTGCATCATTCACACACACCCTGTTTATAGTACATAAACCATCACTCTGCATCATTCACACACATCCTGTATATAGTACATAAACCATCACTCTGCATCATTCACACACACCCTGTATATAGTTCATAAACCATTACTCTGCTTCATTCACACACATCCTGTGTATAATACATAAACCATCACTCTGCTTCATTCACACACACCCTGTGTATAGTACATAAACCATCACTCTGCATCATTCACACACACCCTGTGTATAGTACATAAACCATCACTCTGCATCATTCACACACATCCTGTGTATAGTACATAAACCATCATAAACAATTACTTATAATTCTTATATACCCTCTCTATGGTGCATAAGCAATCACTCGGCATCATTCACTCATTCCTTGCTTATAGTGCATTAAAAACGTAATTTAGCATCATTCTCACGCTGTGTTTGGTATATAAAGCTTTACACATATCCTGTGTATGGTACATAAATCATCGTGCTGCATTGTTAACCAATCACTGCTGCCCAGACTAGATTAAATTAATACATTTGCAGGCTGTTGAGCTCGTACCAAACCAAGGAACCAGGAAATGACTGATGCTAACTTAAAGTGAAACAATAGTTACAAAACCGCTCTAGTTTAATAAAGCGTTTTTTTCTGTATAGATCATGTCGTTGCAGTTTCACTGCTCAATTCTCTGCCATTTAAAAATTTAAAGCACTTTGTTTATGCAGGCATAGGCACAACTCTTTGCATGTGACTAACACAGCCTTCCTAAACACTTCTTGTAAAGAGATATCTAATCTTTACACTTTCTTTATTGCAAATTCTGTTTATGTAGAATTTTTTATCTCTTGCTCTGTTAATAGCTTACTAGACCCTGCAGAAGCCTCCTGTATGTAATTAAAGTTCAATTTACAGAGCAAGAAATACAAATCTTTAAAGTGAGTTACATCTCATTGAAAATAAAACCATTTTGTTTTCATGCAGACTGTCAGTCACAGCCAGGAAGGTGTGGTTAGGACTGCATAAACAGAAACAAGTGATTTAACTCCTAAATCGCAGATAATTGAGCAGTGAAACTGACCTATACACCAAAATGGCTTAATTAAGCCAAAGTTGTTTTGGTGACTATAGTCCCTTTAACCTTTATATGGGCACACCAGTGGTTTATCACAGTTGTAGAATGGTTCAACAAGTAGTTCAATACAGTCCAAAAAAGATTTTTTTTTTAAATAAAAAAAAACAAAATACATGCCCTTTCTTGAATGACATTGTAAATCAGTCTCTGAATAGTTGCTCATTGGTATCTGCCCTCTGTCTGTCTGCAGGAGGCCATCAATGAAATGAATGACGAGCTACAGGAGAATGCCCGGGAAACCGAGCTGGAGTTACGGGAGCAGCTGGACATGGCCACAGCCAGAGTGCGTGAGGCAGAGAAACGCGTGGAGGCAGCACAGGAAACTGTGGCAGATTACCAGCAGACCATCACAAAATACCGAGACCTCACTGCACACCTACAGGTGAGCAATTAGGGAATGTGTAGCTGTACCTTAGTAAATTCATATTCAGAATAATCTTTCAGTTCACGGATGGACCTGCTCCTTCCTTAGATGGAAACTATGGAGTATATTTAAAAAATATTCTGCCAGCGTCTATGCTTGTTCACCTGGCTTGGCCGCCATTTCCATTATCCAGCAATTCCCACTACAAACATTTACAACACTGCCTTTTTTAACTGATGGAATGAAAAAGCCTGCAGTAAAATCTTCTTAGTGAGGGATGCTAAAGTGTGTGTGCGTTCACTGAATGGTATCTGTATGTTAGTTCACAAAGGTTTACAGGTGAAAGATTTGTTCTGACAAATACAGTTGCAAGAAAAAGTATGTGAACCCTTTGGAATGATATGGATTTCTGCACAAATTGGTCATAAAATGTGATCTGATCATCATCTAAGTCACAACAATAGACAATCACAGTCTGCTTAAACTAATGGTTTTTATTGAACACACCATGTAAACATTCACAGTGCAGGTGTAAAAAGTATGTGAACCCTTGGATTTAATAACTGGTTGAACCTCCTTTGGCAGCAATAACTTCAACCAAACGTTTCCTGTAGTTGCAGATCAGACGTGCACAACGGTCAGGAGTAATTCTTGACCATTCCTCTTTACAGAACTGTTCAGTTCAGCAATATTCTTGGTATGTCTGGTGTGAATAACTTTCTTGAGGTCATGCCACAGCATCTCAATCGGGTTGAGGTCAGGACTCTGACTGGGCCACTTCAGAAGGCGTATTTTCTTCTGTTTAAGCCATTCTGTTGTTGATTTACTTCTATGCTTTGGGTCATTGTCCTGTTGCAACACCCATCTTCTGTTGAGCTTCAGCTGGTAGACAGATGGCCTTAAGTTCTCCTGCAAAATGTCTTGATAAACTTGGGAATTCATTTTTCCTTCGATGATAGCAATCCGTCCAGGCCCTGACGCAGCAAAGCAGCCCCAAACCATGATGCCCCACCACCATACTTCACAGTTGGGATGAGGTTTTGATGTTGGTGTGCTGTGCCTTTTTTTCGCCACACAGTGTTGTGTGTTTCTTCCAAACAACTCAACTTTGGTTTCATCTGTCCACAGAATATTTTGCCAGTACTGCTGTGGAACATCCAGGTGCTCTTGTGCAAACTGTAAACGTGCAGCAATGTTTTGTTTGGACAGCAGTGGCTTCCTCTGTGGTATCCTCCCATGAAATCCATTCTTGTTTAGTGTTTTACGTATTGTAGATTCGCTAACAGGGATGTTAGCATTTGCCAGTGACTATTGTAAGTCTTTAGCTGACACTCTAGGATTCTTCTTCACCTCATTGAGCAGTCTGCGCTGTGCTCTTGCAGTCATCTTTACAGGACGGCCACTCCTAGGGAGAGTAGCAGCAGTGCTGAACTTTCTCCATTTATAGACAATTTGTCTTACCGTGGACTGATGAACAGCAAGGCTTTTGGAGATACTTTATAACCCTTTCCAGCTTTATGCAAGTCAACAATTCTTAATCGTAGGTCTTCTTAGAGCTCTTTTGTGCGAGGCATCATTCACATCAGGCAATGCTTCTTGTGAAAAGCAAACCCAGAACTGGTGTGTGTTTTTTATAGGGCAGGGCAGCTGTAACCAACACCTCCAATCTCATCTCATTGATTGGACTCCAGTTGGCTGACATCTCACTCTAATTAGCTCTTGGAGATGTCATTAGTCTAGGGGTTCACATACTTTTTCCACCTGCACTGTGAATGTTTACATGGTGTGTTCAATAAAAACATGGTAACATTTCATTCTTTGTGTGTTATTAGTTTAAGCAGACTATGATTGTCTATTGTTGTGACTTAGATGATGATCAGATCACATTTTATGACCAATTTGTGCAGAAATCCATATCATTCCAAAGAGTTCACATACTTTTTCTTGCAGCTGTATATTTTAGATATATACATTATTTTAACATGCAGTGTTCCTTGCAGAGTATCTCATTAACACCTTGATTGGTTGCAGGATGTGAACCGAGAGCTCCGCAGCCAGCAGGAGGCCACTGTGGAGAAGGAGCAGCAGCCTTCTCCAGAAATGTTTGACTTCAAGATCAAGTTTGCAGAGACAAAGGCCCATGCAAAGGTGGGATTTCTCCTATACCATTTATCTCCCATCTGAAGTGTAAATCTGAGTCTGGAAGAGCTTGGGAATGTATATCCAGTCGACTTCAGTCTGTCTTCTTTCTTTTCTTCAGGCCGTTGAGATGGAGCTACGGAAGATGGAGGTAAATCAAGCAAACCGGCATGTCTCCTTACTCACTTCCTTCATGCCAGACAGCTTCCTGCGACATGGCGGGGATCATGACTGTATCTTAGTTCTTTTGCTGATCCCTCGACTCATTTGCAAGGTGAGTGCAAGTTTCAATCCCAAAACATCATGAAAGTAATGCATTTGGTGTATGAATCATGCCTTTGCATTGCCACTGCTCAATTGTCTGCCATTTTCAAGTTAAAGGGACGCTATAGTCACCAGAACAACTACATATTATTGCATTTGTTCTGGTTAGTAAAATCAGTCCCTTCAGGCATTTTGCAGTAAACACTGTTTCTCAGAGAAAATGCAGTGTTTACATTGCAGCCTAGTAATAGCTCCACTGGCCACTCCGCAGATGGCTGCTAGAGGTGCTTCCTGGGTCAGTGCTGCACAGTGTGACTGACATTCAGTGTATCCCCCCTCTGTATATAGACACTGAACTTTGCTGGCTTGTGTTGGCTGTGCCCCATGATCTGCCTCCTTAACAATCTGTGCCAATCCAATGCTTTCCTATGGGAAAGCATTGGATTGGCACAGATCACCTCTTCTGATGATGTCAGCCAAGCAGGCAGATCATAGGCAGAGCCAGCAGAAGCAGACTGCAAAAAATGTAAGAATTTACTATATTTAGGAGGGGGGGGGGGAGGCAGCTGGGCTAAATTTGTTTGTGTTCCTGACCTTATTGTGTTCCTTTAAATCACTTTTATTTACACAGCCATAGTCACACCTCATGTGGCTTTGACTCACACAGTCTCCCTTAAAAAGGTTTAGTTTTTACAGAATATTCTCTTCCTTTGCTACTGTGAGATTGCAGGCAGGTTTGATCAGTTCCCTATTCACCTGCAGAAGCCACATGTCAAACATGGTTTGCTAGAATTTAAATGTTTGTCTTGTTTACCTATTGTACAGTGCTGCTGAATGTGTTGGCACTATATAAATAATTGTAATAAACTTTAATCATGCATAGAAGGCTGCAGCAAGTTCTTATAGGAAAAGTATGAGCAAGTCCTCTTTTTCAGGAAGTGTTACAGTAGGGGAGGTGTAACTATGACTGTGTGGAAAAGAATTGAGACTGCAGGGACATAATCTCTGTACCAAAACCGCTTCCTTAAGCTAAAGTTGTTTGATACGTTGTGTTCCTTTAATGGTTCCAGTTGTCATCCACACACTATTCTGGCTATGCAAGCCATCATTACTTTATAAAATGTCAAGTTCCACACTACTAGCGTATAGGTACAGGCCACTGCAAGCCTGGAGTGTCCATGGGTGAATTTCTTACTCGACATATTGTAGATTATTGATTAATGAAAACCTGCAGGGTACAAACGCTAATGCTTTCTATATTCTACAGGCAGAGCTGATCAGCAAGCAGGCCCAGGAGAAGTTTGAGCTGACAGAGACCCGGGAGGAGAAGGTGGGCATTCGAGGAGCTGTAGGGGAACAGATGAGTTTTGCAGCTGGACTGGTGTATTCCCTCAGCCTCCTACAAGCCACACTCCACAAATATGAACAGTAAGTGTTCCTACCAGTGCTGAGAATTATCATCTCCTGGCTCTGACTTTCACACTGCACCTATTACAAAAAGTAACTTACAGGGTATTTACTGAAGGGACAATTGTCACAATTCAAAATAAATTTCACATTTAAGGCCAGTGTAGCTAAACTGGAGGATTTTTCCAGTTTGGCCATTTTGATTTTAAATTTGAAATTCACTGTGATTTCCAGGCACTTTAGTGAGTAATTCTGTCAAACACCACACAAATCCGTAGAATGTGAGGTTGCCTAGAAAGGCAAGGTAAGGTCGTACTGAGAGATCCAGGATGCTATGAGTAAAGGACCATAAAAATCATTTAAAATGCCCTGCTCATTCCAAAAAGTATTAATATTGCATTCATGCTTCACTAAATGTATTTCTATAAAATGCTTTCTTTAAACAATTTGTTCATACATTTTAGTCTTGTTTGCAAACTACCGTATATACTCGAGTATAAGCCGAGTTTTACGGAACATTTTTTGTGCTGAAAAACCCCAACTCTGCTTATACTCGAGTCAATGTCTGTATTGTGACAATTTAGATTGCCACAATACAGACCAGGACCGCCGGGCTCATTACAAGCCCGGCGGTCCTGTTGGGGGCTGACAGTGAGCTGTTACTTACCTTCCTGCATCTCCTGTCAGCTCCCTCCTCTTCCGTGCAGCTCCTCGGTCAGCTCCGTTCTGCTCACAGTGTAAATCTTGCGAGAGCTGCGGGTCTTGCGAGACTTACACTGTAAACAGAACGGAGCTGACCGAGGAGCTGCACGGAGGAGGAGGGAGCTGACAGGAGCTGCAGGAAGGTAAGTAACAGCTCACTGCCAGCCCCCCCACTGAACTGCCAATGCAACTGGACCACCAGGGATTTAATATTTTATTTTAATAATAATAAAATATTATTATATTATTATTATTATTTTAATATTTGCATTATTTTTTTTTTAATGGTTTTTTGTCCCCCCTCCCTGCTTGTTGCCTGGCCAGGGAGGGGGGACAAAAAACATTTAAAAAAAAAAAAATTATGCAAATATTAAAATTATAATAATATAAAAATAAAATATTTTAATATTATATTATTTTAATATTATTTTATTATTATATTATTATAATATGTTTAATATTTGCATTATTTTTTTAAAAATGTTTTTTTGTCCCCCCTCCCTGCTTGTTGCCTGGCCAGGGAGGGGCGACAAAAAACATTTAAAAAAAAATAATGCAAATATTATAATAATAATATAATAATAAAATAATATTATTATTTTAATATTATATTATTTTAATATTATATTGTTTTAATATTTGCATTATTTTTTGAAAAATGTTTTTTTGTCCCCTGTCCCTGCTTGTTGCTTGGCCAGGGAGGGGGCCACAAAACATTTAAAAAAAAAATAATGCAAAAATTAAAATAATAATAATATAATAATAAAATAATATTATTATTTTAATATTATTTTATTGTTATATTATTTTAATATTTGCATTATTTTTTTTTAAATGTTTTTTTGTCCCCTCTCCCTGACCAGGCAACAAGCAGGGAGGGGGGACAATAATGCAAATATTAAAATAATAATATTATTAAAATAATATAATTAAAATTAAAAAAAATTAAAATAAAAATGCCCTCCCCTCATCCAGTTTACACACACTGCACAAACACACACACACTGCATTATATACACACTGCATTATATACACACACACAACACACAAACACACACTCTGCATTCATTCTATACACACACTGTAAATAAATATTCAATTAATGTAATTTTATTGGGATCTAATTTAATTTAGAAATTTACCAGTAGCTGCTGCATTTCCCACCCTAGGCTTATACTCGAGTCAATAAGGTTTCCCATTTTTTTGTGGTAAAATTAGGGGCCTCGGCTTATATTCAGGTCGTCTTATACTCGAGTATATACGGTAATTATACTTAAAACCCCCACAAGGTGGCGCAGTCTAGGCTAAAATACTTCATATCCAATATCTCTCCATGTTCAGTTCTAAATGGCATTGATCCACTCCATTTATTTGTATTCTTTATGTGAGGCATTTAAATGGGAACCGTCACTACTCTGAAATTACTGCATTGAATAAAGCATTGGAAATGACATTAACATTCTATCTCTTAAATTTATATTAAATATTTAGCAAATTAAAGGGATCCTGTTTTCCTGGCACTATAGGCTCTTGAAGTGCCCCTCTTCCTCGGGGTACCCTCCCTCAACGCTGAAGGGATTAAAACCCCTTCAGCCACTTACCTTAATCCAGCGCGGGGCTCCCTCGGCGCTGGTGACCTCTCCTCCCTGCCGACGTCCGCTTCCAAGTGGAGCAGAATGCGCATGCACGCATGCACGTCCAGATGCACACGCGCATTCAAACCCGCCCATAGGAAAGCATTACTTAATGCTTTCCTGTAGGGATCTTTTTTGACGCTGGAGGTCCGGACAGCCACTAGAGGCTAGATTAACCCTGTAGTGTAAACTTGGCAGTTTCTCTGAAACTACTATGTTTTCAGCTGCAGGGTTAAAACTAGGGGGAACTGGCACCCAGACCACTTCATTGAGCTGGAGTGGTCTGGGACCCTATAATGGTCCTTTAACATCGTATCCAGTTCACTCAGGCTGAATTAAAGAGAGAGAAACATTGTTTCATTCAGTTTTCTCTATGCTGACTGGAAGGTGCAAAGGGCAGAGCTATGTCAGTGATTGACAGGGAACTAAGATGGAGGCGTCTACTTTCAGGACAAAATTTATAGATTTTCATCTTTTTTTTTTTTTTATTATTATTTTTTTTTACACCTCACAAATGCATATATGTAAAATATAGGCGTGAGTATACATTATATGCTAAAATCCCAGGGAGTGAGAGTTCACCGTTAAACCTCCGATGAGAGAGAGATGTTAACGGTAATATTCATACATAGCTGTGAGATTGGCATGTTGGCTACATTGTGTCGTGCTAAGTGTGCAGTGAACCAGGTGAATACTGACCTACCTTGGACATACAGTGCAGAAGGTCTGTGCTGACATTAATATGTGGAGCTCTATAAACAAGTAATTTTAAACCATTGTTTAGCTTAATGTCTGGCACTGATAGGGTTAAAGTAGGACGATAATTGTGATGTTTATGTTTTTCTGTTAGATTTGCTGTTTGCATGCAATTCCTGTTATTAGTGTCTCTGTGCTATGAATGAATGGGGGAGCGCGAGTGATGTTGTTTTTGGCTTCCTTTCCTCTTCCTGTGGTATTAAGAGGAGCATGAGGTCATCCTCCTTCCTTCATGGCTGGAATCCCAACACAAGACTTCATCCGCTTACTGCATAATCATACTACTCAAATGTAAACATAAACACAACAGGTGCATTATTAACGGACGTCTCTATCAATGTGTAGTTTTGGTTTTATGTCCTTTATTTTCAGATGACCATCCAAAACACTGTTATCTATTTCTTTTTTTTATCCCCACTAACAATTTACAATTATAGCCCTAGATACTCTTGCAGAATTTTCATATGAAACAGAGTTCAGAATGCTAAATGTCTGCAGAGAGAAAACTAAATTTGCCTCCGTAATCCCAATGATAGACCCCCACCAAAATCCCCAGACAGGACTTCCTTCAGCCCAAGTCTATCTGCTCAAGAGTTTGTGCCCAGACAGACGTGGCTTCTTTTTGATACCCACTACGTACACATAAAACACAACATTATGTATGAATTAAATATATATTTAACAAATCACTGTTTTGCTTATAATGTCTACACAAGTAGTGCAACAAAAAAAGCAATAATCATAACTCAAGCTGACCCTGAAAACTGTTTAGTAGAATGCTCCCCAGGCTTAGTGATCACTGTGAGAGCCAATCACAGCCATAGCTGTCTATTTGCTCCAGTAGCCCATCAGTCACTGTTACTGAACTCTTCATTATTAAATCAACCCGCATTTACTACGACAGCTGGCATCAGGATCAGGAAGTTTATCTCATATTTTCACGCTTGACAGCAAATTATTGTATTTTTATTATTTTATTTTTTAGTTGATTAAGAATTGTATTTATTGTTTTGTGCTGCCTGTAGGTTTCATGTCTACATTGTTATATACAAGTAACTAATGTTTCCATTCTGGAACTTGCGATTCCTCATTCCCAGTCTAAGGTGTACACTGTACACACACCATCCTCACGCCTAAGACCGGTTTGATTCTAGCGATGAAGAAACTCTTGTCATGTCAAGTATAATGTGCCACTTTAATCTGCAAGTGATTTTATCTGTACTTTGTGGCAGTCAGTTGGCAAGAACATACACCAATACACTCTGTAAATAAAATGATTACACCACTCACCACTGCTCAGACCCACGAGGAAGCACAATGAAAGATCCATGTATGGCTCCTTAATAACAATCAAAACTAAATGTTTACTAAAATCCAAGAAAATTACATGCTCATTCTCATGCCGGTTCTTAGGATAATATCACTCAATAAGCACATCTTTCACTGTAATTTTTCCTGCTCTGCTGTGCTTGTTGGTCTTGTTAGTGGACTCAGCTGTCCTCGCTTTACATCACAAAATACCGCAGCTAATTACTTCCTGCACAGGGATGAGGGCCTATCTAAAGCCTGGCAACATGAAATCTCCTTGTTTCACATCTGTTCTTTACCATTCACTGCTTGTTTTTTATTTCATTCATTGCGGTTATTGCAGACTAATGGAGTTCGTCAGCCTAGGAATTCTATTTACTGCAAAATTACTGGGGTTTCTCTTTAATAAGTATTAATGTTGTTAAGGTGGTGATTTTTTATGATATAGCTTTTCGTGGATGCAATGTTTTAATGTATGTTAGGATTCCTCTCCACACAGATTATATGAGTCTATCTGTCCCATTGACACCTCCTTTAAGGTGTTTGTATGTGTGTGTCTCTCCATGAGTTAGCAGAGACACTGTATGGGAGTAATGTATGTTTTATGTGGTTCTTGTATTCAGACTATTAAAGCTGACTCTCTCTGCAACAGAGCTTTGAATAAGTGCAGTGTGGAAGTGTACAAGAAGATCGGGATGCTATACCCAGAGATGAGTGTACATGAACGCTCTCTGGATTTCCTCATTGAGCTTCTGCACAAGGACCAACTGGATGAGACCGTGAACGTGGAGCCGCTGACCAAGGCTATCAAATATTACCAGGTATTGGGTACAGGCATGAAGTAATCTGACATCTGTGATCGTAAGGCTCATCTGTTATAAATCTGATATGTCATTTTATTTTCTATATACACATATATACAACCCATGTAAAAGTTAGAGAGAGCCATAAATAACCAGTGCAATGTGAGGTTAATGCCAGTAGAATGCTTTTGTCGCTCATGAAAAAGGGTATTAAAGGGACATTCCAGGCAATACAACGTTAATGCGTTTGATAGATTTTTACTTCATTCATACTGTATTTTTTTGCATTTCAAATCTTTGTTTTTTGCACAAAACATTTGTTTTGCAGAATGCTGCACCATAAGCCTGCGTCCTAAGCCACACCTCTCATGCCAGATAGACTTCCTTTTTTTTTTTATTAGCTTTATGCAACAGGTATATTGTTAAAGAAGTTAGTCGGACCATGCGGATCGCAGTTCGGCAGACATGGAACATTTACGTCAGCAGGACATAAACAAAAACATTGTTGGCATAGAATTGTGGCAAATAAAACCGTATGGTGCAGGGCTGCTAGTTGTGCCCTGGGGTGGCCACTATGTCGAAAGTGTTACGATGTAGTGGACTATAATGATTAGGTGCGGACTCATTAAGCTAGGGGCCTCTGTTGCAAGAGTCAGGCAATAAAGTCCATGGCTTAACATAGTATTGTCCTCTGCCTTGAGGTTGGGTTTCTCCCTGTCAGGGTCTCAGTTGCCCAGGAAGCTTGGTTAGTGTCTTTATGGCGCTTCCCCCTGGTTGTCAACTTGTCTTTCTGGGTGTTGTCAGCTGTTGTGGGTTTCGGGGTTGATCCCCAGTTTGTCCCAAAGTGTTTGCGGGTCTTGTTCTGACGTGAGGGCATGTAGTTGGTCTCCACTTGGGACTAGTAAGGCTCCATCAGTACTCCATCTGTAGCGCACCTCTCGATCTCTCAGTTGTTTGGTGACTGGTGCCAGTTGTGACTGGTGCGGTATGTCTCCATATATTGTTACAAACTTGACCTTGCCCATCTCCCGGGAGCGGGCTATAATTGCGGAGTAAACCGCTATGTCCTTTGTCACAATTATGGCGTCTCTTGGTGCGTCAGTCGGTGCTGAAGCTACCTTTTGGATGCAGAAAGCCGCCAAGAGCATGGATGGGTCATTTCTGTTTTTAAGCCCTGTGAATATGAAGAGCCTCTGGGCATATGGTAGGAGCTCCTCCCCACCAACCTCTTGGGAGATCCCTCCCAGTCTGACATTCCGGCACTCTGGTTGGGGGCAGCTCTGTTGGCGGTCGACGGCCGGTTATTCTCTGTTATTTGTTAAGTTTTAGTCTCCTTCCTGCCGGAGCTCCAGCAGCACACGCCTATCCAGTTACTCAGTCAGCCACGCCCCCTCAAGACTTATTAAAAGTATGGTGCACTTCATGTGCTTCACACCCCTAACCGCTGCTTTTAATTTACAACCTGGCTGCAGACAGTCAAAGAAACCCCAAACAGGTAGGGATATCAAGTAAGTCTCCCTGGGTGTTATCTCGTTCTGATGCAGTTAGTTTGGTAGGTTAGATCATTCAGCTCTGTGCATATATTTGATAAGGAAGGTTTGGGCACCTGTTTAGATTATGTAATGGAACTAGTAATAGTATGAGGCGTGCTGCACAACTAATTAGTCAAATGGAATATTTTCTTTATGAAGAAAGGTTTAAAACCATGAACTTGTTTACTTTTTAATAAAGGCAACTCCTAAGTCCCATGGCACTATTATATATGGCCATTATTAACATCTCTTTAGCAACCTGCTCATTAAAAGGGTGGTACAAAGAACCGCAGGTCACTGATTTAGACTTGAAAAGATGATATTTCATCTATGACCGAAGAAAACGTTCTTAACAGTAAAAAGACTTGGAATTCTCTGCCTAGAGAGGTTATCCTATTCTGTACAGGTTGCTAAACAGTGTCTGGATACTTTTTGAGGAAAACAGAATATTCAAGGACATAGTTAATGAGGACTAAACGCTTGTTATTCAGAGTAGAGATTCACTTTGGAGACTATAAGTAATTTCCCCCCAGTTTTATAAAATTGTAAAGCAATTATTTTTATTATTTTGCCTTCTTTATACATGTACATGCAGTTATATATGTTTATACATGTATGTGAAAAGGACTTTGTCATATGATGCTTTCTTTTTGTTACTTAGCACTTATACAGTATCCACCTGGAGGAGCAGACAGAGGACTGCACCATGCAGCTCTTCGACCACATCAAGGTAGCATAGACCTTGTCCACCAAATTCCACTGATTCTTTCTTTGTAGTGGTTGTAGTTACTGACCTTCATTCTCTCCACAGTTTACACAGAGTGCCCTGGACTGTATAGGGGTGGAAGTGAGCCGGCTGCGTGCCTTCCTGCATGTAAGTTATTGTATTGTAGGTTAAATACTTTACAAACCTTGCCCTGGTACATGGGAGCACACACAGTTAGCAATGCAGCCATATATATTCAGCAGGGTGTGTTTTGCAGATCAGAGGAACATGGACTGACTGCACGTTATCCTCCCCCAAGTTGTGGATGACACATGCCAAATATCAACTACTTGTTAAAAGCTAGATTTTCAAGCTATATTGTGCTGCGAGATTTAAGTACAGCAGAATCTGTCATGTAAAGGAGTGCATTGTTTTTGTGTAATAATGCTGGGGATTATATGTTAATGCCAACTTACATAGAGGCATGTTACAATGATGATTTGTCTCTTTCAGACCGGTCAAGAAGCATCAGATCTGGCAATCCTCCTAAAGGATCTAGAGACATCATGTAGTGACATCCGTCAGTTCTGCAAGAAGATCAGACGCCGAATGCCTGGCACAGAGGCTGCAGGGATACCAGCTGCTCTTAGCTTTGGATCACAGGTGGGAGGGGCCTGATTTTTGGGATCCAGGGATTAGTGTGCGTGTCGCCTAGATTTAATATGGGATACTTTCAAATCCAGGTCTCCGAGACATTGCTGGAGTGTCGCAAGCATCTGAAGTGTGTGGTGGCGGTGTTCCAGGAAGTAGCAGCTGCTGGGGCACAGATGCTCGCTCCTCTAGGGGAAAATGAGGGTCTACAAGCTTTGAAACTGGAGGATGTAGCCTTCAAGGCATCAGAGCAGGTAACATATTAGTGGTTTGAGCACTGAATAATAGACATGGTATGGTAATATAAATCTTGATATGGAGTGATACATAAAAGAGAAAAAAAACATAAAACAAATCTAGTGCAGATAGTATTTGCAATATACTAGATGCAAAATAAATAAAGTTAGAGACACACACAATCTTCAGAGCCTGAGCATAATGACTGCTGTGCTGTTATAGGTAGCGCTCCACCCACTGATTAAAGGGTTTATCCTGTTAATCATTTTTCTCAATGTATTTATGGTGAGGGAAGAAAGGTATCCCCTCATGGGTGTTTGAGAGCAGCTATTCACACATTGATTTTGAAGCGCTACTTACTGTTCACACTGAGCTCACTTATGAGTTACTTCTGCTTCAGGTAACGTATTAAACTGTACAGATCGCTTGTGGAAATGAGGAGAGGTCATTTTACTAATCAAACACACAAAGTGTGAGGTGGCATTGTGAGTTTTACTAGCATTCACTGTATGTGTTGACCTGGTGTAATTGGTCGCTTGAAAAATCATATCTCTGCTTAGTCAAGAGTTTATAATGCATTGCTTGCTTTATTTATTTATTTAAAATTCAGATTAAAGATTGTTTTATGTTGGATATTTACAAATGCCCTCATATTCCTGGATTAGGGACATGTGAGTGTTGGCCAAATGGAAGGAAGTTATATTTTCATGATAATTCTGACATTGTATTGTTCATAGACCCATATATACTGATAATTCGACACTGAACACCAGCTACTTGTGTCGGTGCTCTAATTGCGAAAAACCAGTTAAAGTACCAAAAAAGAGACTCCAGGGGTCTCAAGGGGCTTAACCCCGGGAATAGAAAAAAATATATAGAGAAAACCACAATGCTTATCACAATCTCCAAGAAAATTGGGACTCGCTGTGTATCCTGGAGATATATAGTAGCCTAAACGAAAATACTTAAATAATATTTGGATATCCCTAAAAGGTGAGGGTTATACAATAAAAATAAAGTGCCTATATGCTCCACAATATATGGAAAATATATAGATATTGGATTATATCAAGTATCCACTATGAGCTTTAATATATCTGGCTCAGTGGGTAACCACAATGCTATCTATATAAAATATAATATATTAGCCAAAGGACAAATAGAAACAGAATACTCTAAAGTGCTACCTCTAATTAGTCATTCCCCCTCCCCCCCCTAGTCACCTTGTGGGGGGGTGGGGGGAATTGACTTAGGGCCCCCATCCGCCACCCAGGGGTGGGGGCTGGGGGGGAGGACAGTAGGTGTCCGCCCCTCATTATCTTTACGGCCCCACCCCAGGACAGTAGGTGTCCCCTCATTATCGTTGACAGTGCCGCTTTAAAGCTCATAGTGGATACTTGATATAATCCAATATCTATATATTTTCCATATATTGTGGAGCATTTAGGCACTTTATTTTTATTGTATAACCCTCCCCTTTTAGGGATATCCTAATTTAAGTATTTTCATTTAGACTAATGTATATCTCCAGGATACACAGCGAGTCACAATTTTCTTGGAGATTGTGATAAGCATTGTGTTTTTCTCTATATATTTTATTGTATGGTTCATGAATGAAGGTATAATAGATCTTTTTCACCTGTCATGCCTAAAACTACCTTTACTCTTTTAAAAAGCGCATAAAATGTAATCTACACTGAGTGCAGCTGTGTTTCTAGCTACTGTATGGAGTGAGAAACAAAAACATTAAACATGGGTTTTTCTCCCAGCTGTCAATCAATTCTTCAGCATTTACTCTGTTATACCATTGTGTATCAGTTAGCCAGAAAGATTTAATGACTGCAAACTTGTTTCTAGATGTGAATCTATTCTAAGATTGTTTACCTCCTTTTCAGATATACGGTTCACAGGGCAGTAACCCATATGAGTGCCTTCGCCAGTCCTGCAACATCTTGATTGCCACCATGAATAAGATGGCCACAGCCATGCAGGAAGGGGAGTATGATGCAGAGAAACCTCAAAGCAAGGTGGGTGTTTTGTACATTGACACCACTGTTATGCTGTGTCTTGACTCCATATGTACATCACTGTTATGTACTAATCCAAGCCTTTCTTCCCATCAGTCACCTCCTCCGGTGGAGCAGAGAGCGACTGCCCTGCGAGCAGAGATTACAGATGCAGAGGGACTTGGTTTGAAACTGGAGGACAGAGAGACGGTGATCAAGGAGTTAAAGAAATCGCTGAAGTTCAAGGTGAGTCAAAGTGTTAAAGCTGTAAATTACTGTCGATTGGTGCAGTTGTCTTGCATTTTGAGAAAGGTTGATGTCTTAGTGTCATTTTCAGAGTTTTGCTGTCCTCGCATGTCACACTTATTTTGTTTGTTGACAAACCTGATGGTTATAGATCAAAATAGCTAACTCCTACTAACAGAGGGAAAACCTCAGACTAACAGAGGGAAACAGATGACCAGCTGTTATAAACTCCATGCTAATAACAGCTGGTTGTCAGGATTGAAAAAAAAAAAAAAGAATCATTTTCTGCTTTGAGACGAAATGTATTTTACTCTGTGGTGATAGGAACTCTGTACATTAGGATATCTGGGTAGTGCAGTGGCCACTGGTATTAAAGAGAATAAAATGTTGGAAGAAACTGATTCATTGTATTTAGTTACAAATTTTTCCCAAATAGGGCTAAGGATTTGTAATTGCATTTCACATATATCAACAGAAAGTTTCCAGTTGTCTCAATGTCAAAAGACGGACATCTAGAACCTGTAACAGAAGGTGCTACATGGATGTGATTTTTAAATGAGGCTTCATTATTTGTTGGCCTGTCTCATGACTTTAAAGTTACACTATAGGGTCAGGAACACAAATATGTATTCCTGACCCTATAGTGTTAGACCCACTATTTAGGTGGCTTTCCCCCCCTCAGCCTCTTTAAAAGAAATGGAAACTCACCTTATTTCCAGCGCCACCGCTGGTCCCACCCCGATCCGCCTATTTAATGACAAGCATTGGATTGGCTAAAATCGTCAAGGAGGCGGGATGGGGGCGGGGGCAAACGCTGTTTTGGCCAGTCAGCACTTCTTCATAGAGATACATTGAACCAATGTATGTCTATGAGGAAAATTCAGCGTCCCCATGCAGAGCGTGGAGACGCCGAACGGCAGTGCTGCCTACTGTGCAGCACTGAGCCAGGAAGCACCTCCAGTAGCCATCTGAGGAGTTGCCACTTAAAGGTACCTGAAGGCAATGATTATACTCACCAGAACAACTACATTAGGCTGTAGTTGTTGTGGTGACTCTAGTGTCCCCTTAATAATCATGTGTTATAAAAAGGATATGTAATGCATACTATAATGCCATAATCTGGCATAAACATTCTGAAGCTGGAGGCAATATTCTGTTCTGTAGTCATGTACCTGATTTGATCCATCTATTCTCTCCAGCTGTAGTAAGTTGCCAAATGCTTATTGACATTGATGAATATGGCATTCTAATTATCACTGTCTGCATTACTGACTGGAAGGGTCTAAGTCATGGGAAGCATTCTGTATCTTGGGTACAAAATTCATTAAGATTCATCTAAATGGTATACCTGCCTCTCTTTCTGACGGGACATGGGAAACCAGAGCTAATGGGATCTGTCACTTGTGTTTAGGGCGAGGAACTGAGCGAGGCCAATGTTCGTTTAAGCCTCCTGGAAAAGAAGCTGGACAGTGCCTCCAAAGAAGCAGATGACCGGGTGGAGAAGATCCAGACCAAGCTAGAAGACACCCAGACACTACTGAAGAAGAAGGAAAAGTACGTTTTGAGAGATGTGATGGTCTTATATTGTTATGTAGATCCCTGCCAAGATGTCCCAACATTTTCCAAACTTGCTTTTCTTCCCAATGTCCCTACTCCAAATATTTTACACATCTCTAGTAATGAATGAATTGTTAATGCCATCAGCTGTGGATTAACTACTCTGAACTGCACCTTCCTGTTATACTCCGCGATAACCTAAATCTGCTCTGTGTGTTAAACACTACTTTAATGGTGCATTGTTTGCTGTCTTCAGAGAATTTGAAGAGACCATGGATGCCCTACAGGCTGATATTGATCAGTTAGAATCTGAGAAAGCAGAACTTCGTCAGCGGCTAAACAACCAGTCGAAGAGGACCATTGAAGGGCTACGAGGAGCTCCTGCTTCTGGTGTGGCATCTATTGTATCTGGGATTGCAGGAGGTGAGTGTGATAAACTCATACTATTTTCTCACTTGTAGATTACTTGGGATCCATATTGCATACGAATCTCTCAGTGAATGTACTGCACACCAATGAACGTTTTACACTGCTTCCAGCGAGGAAACACATCACGTTTGCAGGGCTTCCTGCAGTGAGTTTAGTGGCCTATTGCAGATCAGTTGAGAGCATCAATCAGTTTAACTTTAGTCTGAGCATCAATTAAACATGAATTGTTTTCTCAAATTAGCTATAGAAAAGTGTCCCCATTTTACGTTTGTAAGAATTTTTGCAATAAAATACTGTCATGCTGAATTTCTATTTCTTCTCTTAACTCTAATCTGTATCTTTCCAACTCCTCATCAATCAGAGGAAGAGCAGAGAGGTACAGTAACACATCAACCACAGCTACCCATCATTCCTAACTGCACCACAACCCTGTCTAAACCTATATCATCTAGGGAGAAAATTTACTGTTCTCTGTTGTATTCTGTTTATCTGTCTTTATATGGACGAAAACCATCTGGGCCCTGTTAGTCCTAGGCTGTCATGTGATTCATTCAGTAAACTCATTCCCACATGAAGAATATAATCATATACAGTAAAGCAGTGTCAAGCAAAAGCTATTTTATAACTTTTACACAATTAGGTTAATAAAAAAAACCTTCATCCAAAAATATTTTCGTTCTTTGATGGTTAGTTTAGAGAAAAATCTACCGTTATCATTGGCGGTGTGTGGGGGCTTTAAATATAATAACAAGAGAGGGACCGATTGCTTCCACCATTGGCGGTGTGTGAGAGCTCTAAATATAATATCAAGGGAGGGACCAATTGCTTCAAGCATTGGCGGTGTGAGAGAGCTCTAAATATAATAACAAGGAAGGGACCGATTGCTTCCACCATTGGCGGTGTGTGAGAGCTCTAAATATAATAAGGGAGGGACCGATTGCTTCCAGCATTGGCGGTGTGTGAGAGCTCTAAATATAATAACAAGGGAGGGACCAATTACTTCCACCATTGGCTGTGTGAGAGAGCTATAAATATAATAACAAGGAAGGGACCGATTGCTTCCACCATTGGCGGTGGGTGAGAGCTCTAAATATAATAATAAGGGAGGGGACAGATTGCTGCCACCATTGGCGGTGGGTGAGAGCTCTAAATATAAAAACAAGAGAGGGACCGATTGCTTCCACCAATGACGGTGGGTGAGAGCTCTAAATATAATAAGGGAGGGGACAGATTGCTTCCACCATTGGCTGTGTGAGAGAGCTCTAAATATAATAACAAGGGAGGGACCGATTGCTTCCACCATTGGCGGTGTGTGAGAGCTCTAAATATAAAAACAAGAGAGGGACCGATTGCTTCCACCATTGGCTGTGTGAGAGCTCTAAATATAATAACAAGGGAGGGGACCGATTGCTTCCACCATTGGCGGTGGGTGAGAGCACTAAATATAATAACAAGGGAGGGGACAGATTGCTTCCACCAATGACGGTGGGTGAGAGCTCTAAATATAATAAGGGAGGGGACAGATTGCTTCCACCATTGGCTGTGTGTGAGAGCTCTAAATATAATGACAAAGGAGGGACCAATTACTTCCATCATTGGCGGTGTGTGAGAGCTCTAAATATAATAACAAGGGAGGGGACAGATTGCTTCCACCATTGGCGGTGTGTGAGAGCTCTAAATATAATAACAAGGGAGGGGACAGATTGCTTCCACCATTGGCAGTGTGTGAGAGCTCTAAATATAATAACAAGGGAGGGGACAGATTGCTTCCACCATTGGCGGTGTGTGAGAGCTCTAACTATAATAACAAGGGAGGGACCGATTACTTCCACCATTGGCGGTGTGTGAGAGCTCTAAATATAATAACAAGGGAGGGACCGATTGCTTCCACCATTGGCGGTGTGTGAGAGCTCTAAATATAATAAGGGAGGGACCGATTACTTCCACCATTGGCTGTGTGAGAGCTCTAAATATAATAAGGGAGGGACCGATTACTTCCACCATTGGCGGTGTGTGAGAGCTCTAAATATAATAACAAGGAAGGGACCGATTGCTTCCACCATTGGCGGTGGGTGAGAGCTCTAAATATAATAACAAGGGAGGGGACAGATTGCTTCCACCATTGGCTGTGTGAGAGAGCTCTAAATATAATAACAAAGGAGGGACCAATTACTTCCATCATTGGCGGTGTGTGAGAGCTCTAAATATAATAACAAGGGAGGGGACAGATTGCTTCCACCATTGGCGGTGTGTGAGAGCTCTAAATATAATAACAAGGGAGGGGACAGATTGCTTCCACCATTGGCGGTGTGTGAGAGCTCTAAATATAATAACAAGGGAGGGGACAGATTGCTTCCACCATTGGCGGTGTGTGAGAGCTCTAAATATAATAACAAGTGAGGGACCGATTACTTCCACCATTGGCGGTGGGTGAGAGCTCTAAATATAATAACAAGGGAGGGGACAGATTGCTTCCACCATTGGCGGTGTGTGAGAGCTCTAAATATAATAAGGGAGGGACCGATTGCTTCCAGCATTGGCGGTGTGTGAGAGCTCTAAATATAATAACAAGGGAGGGACCAATTACTTCCACCATTGGCTGTGTGAGAGAGCTATAAATATAATAACAAGGAAGGGACCGATTGCTTCCACCCTTGGCGGTGGGTGAGAGCTCTAAATATAATAATAAGGGAGGGGACAGATTGCTTCCACCAATGACGGTGGGTGAGAGCTCTAAATATAATAAGGGAGGGGACAGATTGCTTCCACCATTGGCTGTGTGAGAGAGCTCTAAATATAATAACAAAGGACAGATTGCTGCCACCATTGGCGGTGGGTGAGAGCTCTAAATATAAAAACAAGAGAGGGACCGATTGCTTCCACCAATGACGGTGGGTGAGAGCTCTAAATATAATAAGGGAGGGGACAGATTGCTTCCACCATTGGCTGTGTGAGAGAGCTCTAAATATAATAACAAAGGAGGGACCGATTGCTTCCACCATTGGCGGTGTGTGAGAGCTCTAAATATAAAAACAAGAGAGGGACCGATTGCTTCCACCATTGGCTGTGTGAGAGCTCTAAATATAATAACAAGGAAGGGACCGATTGCTTCCACCATTGGCGGTGGGTGAGAGCTCTAAATATAATAACAAGGGAGGGACCAATTACTTCCACCATTGGCGGTGGGTGAGAGCTCTAAATATAATAAGGGAGGGACCGATTGCTTCCAGCATTGGCGGTGTGTGAGAGCTCTAAATATAATAACAAGGGAGGGACCGATTACTTCCACCATTGGCGGTGGGTGAGAGCTCTAAATATAATAAGGGAGGGACAGATTGCTTCCAGCATTGGCGGTGTGTGAGAGCTCTAAATATAATAACAAGGGAGGGACCAATTACTTCCACCATTGGCTGTGTGAGAGATCTCTAAATATAATAACAAGGAAGGGACCGATTGCTTCCACCATTGGCGGTGGGTGAGAGCTCTAAATATAATAACAAGGGAGGGGACAGATTGCTTCCACCATTGGCGGTGGGTGAGAGCTCTAAATATAATAACAAGGGAGGGGACAGATTGCTTCCACCATTGGCGGTGTGTGAGAGCTCTAAATATAAAAACAAGAGAGGGACCGATTGCTTCCACCAATGACGGTGGGTGAGAGCTCTAAATATAATAACAAGGGAGGGGACAGATTACTTCCATCATTGGCTGTGTGAGAGAGCTCTAAATATAATAACAAGGGAGGGACCGATTGCTTCCACCATTGGCGGTGTGTGAGAGCTCTAAATATAATAACAAGGGAGGGACCGATTGCTTCCACCATTGGCGGTGGGTGAGAGCTCTAAATATAATAACAAGGGAGGGACAGATTGCTTCCACCATTGGCTGTGTGAGAGAGCTCTAAATATAATAACAAGGGAGGGGACAGATTGCTTCCACCATTGGCGGTGGGTGAGCGCTCTAAATAAATAACAAGGGAGGGGACAGATTGCTTCCACCATTGGCGGTGGGTGAGAGCTCTAAATATAATAACAAGGGAGGGGACAGATTGCTTCCACCATTGGCGGTGTGTGAGAGCTCTAAATATAATAACAAGGGAGGGACCAATTACTTCCATCATTGGCGGTGTGTGAGAGCTCTAAATATAATAAGGGAGGGACCGATTACTTCCACCATTGGCTGTGTGAGAGAGCTCTAAATATAATAACAGGAAGGACGATTGCTTCCACCATTGGCGGTGGGTGAGAGCTCTAAATATAATAACAAGGGAGGGGACAGATTGCTTCCACCATTGGCGGTGTGTGAGAGCTCTAAATATAATAACAAGGAAGGGACCGATTGCTTCCAGCATTGGCGGTGTGTGAGAGCTCTAAATATAATAACAAAGGAGGGGACCAATTGCTTCCACCAATGACGGTGGGTGAGAGCTCTAAATATAATAAGGGAGGGGACCGATTGCTTCCAGCATTGGCGGTGTGTGAGAGCTCTAAATATAATAACAAAGGAGGGGACCAATTGCTTCCACCAATGACGGTGGGTGAGAGCTCTAAATATAATAAGGGAGGGGACAGATTGCTTCCACCATTGGCGGTGTGTGAGAGCTCTAAATATAATAACAAGGGAGGGACCAATTACTTCCACCATTGGCGGTGTGTGAGAGCTCTAAATATAATAACAAGGGAGGGACCGATTACTTCCACCAATGACGGTGGGTGAGAGCTCTAAATATAATAACAAGGGAGGGACCGATTGCTTCCACCATTGGCGGTGTGTGAGAGAGCTCTAAATATAATAACAAGGGAGGGACCAATTGCTTCCACCATTGGCGGTGTGTGAGAGCTCTAAATATAATAACAAGGGAGGGGACAGATTGCTTCCACCATTGGCTGTGTGAGAGAGCTGTGTGAGAGATCTCTAAATATAAAAACAAGGGAGGGGACAGATTGCTTCCACCAATGACTGTGGGTGAGAGCTCTAAATATAATAAGGGAGGGGACAGATTGCTTCCACCACTGGCGGTGTGTGAGAGCTCTAAATATAATAACAAAGGAGGGACCAATTACTTCCATCATTGGCGGTGTGTGAGAGCTCTAAATATAATAACAAAGGAGGGACCAATTACTTCCATCATTGGCGGTGTGTGAGAGCTCTAAATATAATAACAAAGGAGGGACCAATTACTTCCATCATTGGCGGTGTGTGAGAGCTCTAAATATAATAACAAAGGAGGGACCAATTACTTCCATCATTGGCGGTGTGTGAGAGCTCTAAATATAATAACAAAGGAGGGACCAATTACTTCCATCATTGGCGGTGTGTGAGAGCTCTAAATATAATAACAAAGGAGGGACCAATTACTTCCATCATTGGCGGTGTGTGAGAGCTCTAAATATAATAACAAGGGAGGGACCGATTGCTTCCACCATTGGCGGTGTGTGAGAGCTCTAAATATAATAACAAGGGAGGGGACAGATTGCTTCCACCATTGGCTGCGTATGGGGGCTTTAAATATAATAATAAGGGAGGGACCGATTGCTTCCACCATTGGCTGTGTGAGAGAGCTCTAAATATAATAACAAGGAAGGGACCGATTGCTTCCACCATTGGTGGTGTGTGAGAGCTCTAAATATAATAAAAAGGGAGGGACCAATTACTTCCATCCTTGGCGGTGTGTGGGGGCTCTAAATATAATAACAAGGGAGGGAACGATTGCTTCAACCTTGGGCGGTGTGTGAGCGCTCTAAATATAATAATAAGGGAGGCACCGATTGCTTCCACCTTTGGCGGTGTGTGAGGGCTCTAAATATAATAACAAGGGAGGGACCGATTTGCTTCCACCATTGGCGGTGGGTGAGGGCTCTAAATATAATAACAAGGGAGGGACCGATTGCTTCCACCATTGGCAGTGGGTGAGGGCTCTAAGTATAATAACAAAGGAGGGACCAATTGCTTCCACTATTGGCGGTGTGTGAGGGCTCTAAATATAATAACAAGGGAGGGACCGATTTGCTTCCACCATTGGCGGTGGGTGAGGGCTCTAAATATAATAACAAGGGAGGGACCGATTGCTTCCACCATTGGCAGTGGGTGAGGGCTCTAAGTATAATAACAAAGGAGGGACCAATTGCTTCCACTATTGGCGGTGTGTGGGGACTCTAAATATAATAACAAAGGAGGGACCAATTACTTCCACCTTTGGCGGTGTGTGGGGGCTCTAAATATAATAACAAGGGAGGGACCGATTGCTTCCACCTTTGGCGGTATGTGAGGGCTCTAAATATAATCACAAGGGAGGGACCGATTGCTCCCACCATTGGCCGTGTGTGAGGGCTCTAAATATAATAACAAGGGAGGGACCGATTGCTTCCACCATTGGCGGTGGGTGAGGGCTCTAAATATAATAACAAGGGAGAGACCGATTGCTTCCACCATTGGCGGTGTGTGGGGGCCCTAAATATAATAACAAGGGAGGGACCGATTGCTTCCACCATTGGCAGTGTGTGGGGGTTATAAATATAATAATAAGGGGGTAGGATCTATCGTACCCCCAAGCACCCACCTATTAGCAGCTCTACTAATGGGAAGAGAGAACTATTTTCCAACCATTTCCACACCCTATAGCAGATGGGTGAGGACTAATCGTAAAATTAGTCCTCAATGAACCTAGTAGCAAGAAGTCCCCATGCCCCTAGCCACGATCTGTAATAAAAATACCCTACCTACCTTACCTTGCCCTAATAATAGTAAGAGGGGGCAACAACTAAATTATTTTATTACACTTGCCATCAGATGCCTTCTTAAAACTTCTTGTGTTCATCCCCAAAAAAGGCTCCCTTATCTTGAGACTTGCCGGGGAGCCTGCCTAATGCTTGGTAGCCTCCCTAATCAAATTACAAGTAGGGAGTTGGTTGTTTCCCACCTTGTAATTAAACAAACTAAAAACCGAATTGCATGACAGTCCGTTCGTCTTTTATTTTGCATTCGCTCATTCATCTATCTGAATAATGTCCGAAATGCCTGAATTTCAGTTGAATTTGTATGAACTTTTTACCGAGTCTAACAGAGCAGCAGTTTAATATTGCTGCAGACATCATCAGAATTACTGTTTGTAAAGTGTAAACACAGCACTTCAGACAATGTTTTAGAATAACCTGCTATATTATACATGGCACCATGGCATTAGTCTAAAATAAGTAAGGATACACACCTTCTTTCCTGATTTTCTCTGCATGTGGGATCCCCAGATGTGTCTCTCTAGGAGTACTGGCAGTGGTCCCCCCCACCACCTTCCCAGGGATATCCTATCCTTGACTTGTATGTTTCTTCTAGATAAAGTAGATTTGAAAGAAAGCTGGTTACTTTATTGTAACATGTATGTTTTTTCTCCCTATGTACGTTTGTCTAATTGTCTAATGCTGTCTTAAAGGCAACCTTAAAAAAGAAAAGAACCATGGCTCCTTCCAGTAACCAGCTTTATCTAAATTTAATGCAGCTGCCCTTTATCCTTCAGATATGTTGATTTAAGGAGTCACTACATGTTTTATTAGGTCACACAGTACGAGGTGTCTGCATGTACATTATTATTATTATTATTAAAGTTATTAAAGGGCCACAGTGTTATTTTGTCCAGATTTGTCATGCTTCCTGCATGCAGAAACCTTCATGTATTTCTGCCTGTCTTAAAGGGGGGATGTGCATGTCAATAGGTTCTGTTTGCATTGTTGCCACATTCCCACCCATCTTCTTATTTCTCCAGGAGTCTCCTCCAACCAAGGTTTACTCAATGGATCTGGACCTGTGCAGATCAAGGACTCTCCATTACTGCTGCAGCAAATTGAAGCCATGCGGCTCTCAATAACTCATCTAAAGCACGAGAACAACAGACTGAAGGTGACTGATAGTATGCATGGTCTTCCGCGCCTCATACACCTATCCCAAATTACCTAAACCATATGAGCAGACTGAAGGTGACTGATCTTATACATAGTCCTCAGCATGTCATATACCTATCCCAAATTACCTAAACCATGTGAGCAGACTGAAGGTGTCTGATATTATACATAGTCCTCAGCATGTCATACACCTATCCCAAATTACCTAAACCATGTGAGCAGACTGAATGTGACTGATCTTATACATAGTCCTCAGCATGTCATACACTTATCCCAAATTACCTAAACCATGTGAGCAGACTGAATGTGGCTGATCTTATACATAGTCCTCAGCATGTCATATACCTATCCCAAATTACCTAAACCATGTGAGCAGACTGAAGATGGCTGATCTTATACATAGTCCTCAGCATGTCATATACCTATCCCAAATTACCTAAACCATGTGAGCAGACTGAAGATGGCTGATCTTATACATAGTCCTCAGCATGTCATATATCTATCCCAAATTACCTAAACCATGTGAGCAGACTGAAGATGGCCGATCTTATACATAGTCCTCAGCATGTCATATACCTATCCCAAATTACCTAAACCATGTGAGCAGACTGAAGAGGGCCGATCTTATACATAGTCCTCAGCATGTCATATACCTATCCCAAATTACCTAAACCATGTGAGCAGACTGAAGGTGACTGATCTTATACATAGTCCTCAGCATGTCAGATACCTATCCCAAATTACCTAAACCATGTGAGCAGACTGAAGGTGACTGATCTTATACATAGTCCTCAGCATGTCAGATACCTATCCCAAATTACCTAAACCATGTGAGCAGACTGAAGGTGACTGATCTTATACATAGTCCTCAGCATGTCAGATACCTATCCCAAATTACCTAAACCATGTGAGCAGACTGAAGGTGTCTGATCTTATACATAGTCCTCAGCATGTCATACACCTATCCCAAATTACCTAACCATGTGAGCAGACTGAAGATGACTGATCGACAGACTAAGTACACATTGTGGTAGAACCTTGCTATTCAGTAATGAAGCTATTAGCTTCCCCAGTTAAATAGTCTTCCCATTGTTTTAGCAGTGACAGCAAAGCTCACCATAGACACTGTTCAAATCAAAACACTCCTTGGGCCATTTGTTTAAATGGCTTTAAGCTTGAACCTAGCAATGTTGCTGATTATCTTTACTGACAGACATCAAGATACCTGTTTTTTTTTGTTTGTTTTTTGTGTACCTGAATAAATCTAATAACTAATATTTATCTAATATCTAATTAAAAGTTATTATTAGAAGTCTATATCCTGCTCCTGTCCACCTTCACTATGTAAGTTCTGTTTATACCCCTCCGATCCTCAGGCTAAACGGATAAAGGAGGATCTGGCTTCTCTGCCCCCTCTGCATATCCCTAAGCTGACACTCCCCAAAGACCGTCAGCGCGAGGATCCCCTGTCCGGCACTTTGTACCGCAAGACCAGCCAGCTACTCGATACTTTGCAGCAAATGAGCGCCAGTACCAAGGTGGTAGACATCACACACAAGAAGACAAGTATGTTCTGGTGACCACTAGGTTTGATTAGAGGGCAGTAATACTGATTTAGGTCTGCTCACTTATTGCTTGTCTTTCAGGGAGTCCAGCAGCCCAGCTATTCGAGCAGACAGCCCGGCTAAAGTCTCTCAGTGACACAATTGACAAACTGAAGGTAAATGCTCTAAGTTGACTCACTTAAATGAAGGAGGTTTTATTATCTGCCAGATTGGTTGGAACAGTAGATAGAACAGTAGATAGTCAGTTTGTGGAAAATAAATCCTTTTCAGTGCAACACATTTCTTAGACCGGCATTGCTCTCCCATCCTTCCCATGTTTACATTGCAGCTGGGGCCATGGGTTTGTCTGAAAGAGGATGGTTATTCAATAATCATTGTATCAGGGTAAACAGACCAAGATAGAACTGTTCAGTATGCTTTGTGACATGTCCTCCTGATATCTGGAATATATTTTCTGCACATCGATAATCTCTCTCAGCATAAACAACTCATTGGTACTTAATGGCCTTGTAAACATAATAAAATGCACAAGTGAAGACGATTCCTTTATGTTCAGTGCTATTCATATTAAAATACTGTGGATAGACATGATTCAGAAGAGGGAATATATTTCATTGTGTTATCGTAATGTCCATGATACAATCAGTCAGCCATTGAATTAGTGTGTGAGCTTGTCCACCATCGCTAAAGGGAAATGGTCCATGAGAAGGAACGAAAAGCATTTAATTCTCTGGCTGTAATGGCTCCACTTTACAACGCATTATCTGGCGATTTATCCTGCTCTGTATGTAAATATTCTTTTTGTTGGTTGGTGAAGAAGCAATGCCATCATTATTCCATGTTTGAGTGATCAGTCTATCGAGATCATCTCTCATGCCTGTCCATTTTGTCCCGCATGTAGGATGAAGTTCTAAAGGAGACAGTCTCCCAATGTACTGGAGCAAATGTCCCAACACACTTTGCCACGTTTCCTTCCTCTGCCTTCATTAAGGTGAGAAATCCGGCTAGAATATATTTCTGTGTGTCTGTATATAATATAAGCTTTCAATGTGTAATCTCTTTAGAAACCTGACTCTAACTACAAATTTCCCATGCATTTATTCCTCAGGCCAAAGAAGAGAAGAAAGAAGACACAGTTTACATTGGCAAAGTGGTTCTCCCTTGTCAGCCAGGGCATGGCGAGCTACACCGGCTTGTGCTGACCCCAGAACAACTAGAAGATTTGCATGGCAGATTGATCCGTTAAGAGCATATTTACAGGCCTTGTTTGGGCTTTGCCTCTCCCTGGCCAAAGAGTTGATGTATTGGTCGAATCGGTGCGATCTGAAATATGATGCCCACATAAAGTACATCTCTCGGTCTTCCATCCTCGTACTGTCCATGGATGCTTATTTTATTACTTCCTGTACATCTCTATAGCAATGGCGGGATTGTTTCTTTTACAACCTGGTCAAGTGATAAAGGCCATCTCTCAGTTGAGGTTTGAGTTAACTTACAGGAATAGCTCTTAATGGCACTTAAAATTATTTAAAAAAAAAAAAAAAATTATTATTCCTGCTCCGTGTTGGTGTATTATGGTATTGTCAGCCTGTATTGTCAGCATAACTAATGTACCGTAACTATTGAGCATACATTCATCCTCTTCTTCACTCCGCATTGCTTTGGTTCCCATCTACAAGAGTCAGTAGAAATCCTCCGGGCCCATATCATTGTAGTTTTAGAGCGGTATCTCTCTCCCTGTGATTCGGTTACAGATGGAGGTTGATTGTGTCATGCTTCATTAACAGAGGTTATGATTTACAATGTTTTTGAAGTTAGAGGATTCTGAATGTTGTTACAATATATTTCTTCACAGTAACTTTGGCTAAAAAAAAAGCCGATAAGAATCTTTGTTTAATTGACACTACAGTTTATTGCATAGAAATACAATTTGTAACTCATTAAAATAGACATTTACTATAATTTTCTTCACTAAATGATCATCCTTTGTATCCAAATGATTGCTCATCTCTTGCACTTACACACAAAATGTAATCTACTCTCCTCTCTCCTTCAGTGAAAACTGCCAGATAAGGCCAGGTTACTTAAAATAAAAATAACCTAAAGTGTCTAGTTCATGCACCCCATGTCATATTGAACTCCAAGGTGTCCAAGTTTTGTCCCTCTTATGTGGAAGGCTGAGAGATGTACTCATTAATGGCTTTGAAGCCATGGCATGGCAAACTGAGGAGTTATTGGTTGAACTTAATGCATTTTAATCATTTGCATTTTGAATGATGAAGGCTAAATTATTTCTACTGAAGGTCATGACACCAGGATCAACTCCGCTTGTTAACTGATTGGACAGCCACTAAGCACCCATTCCCCTCAGTGTCAGCATGCTTTGTTTTTCTTCTGGCAGACGAAGGGTATGGGGATTATTTAAAGAACCTTGTTGCCTTTTTACTTTTTCTGAGACCTTTTTGTTACTATCTGCACCTTCTGCTAGCTTGGTTCATAAAACTCAAACTATATGAAACTGCTGTATTATGTGTAAGACAATAAATGGAACCAATTGGGTTACCTATTGCATCGGTTATTAATAAAGCACTATATCATCTTCTTCCTATCTAAGGAACACCCAAAGTCATGGCTCTGTGTCACTTTTTGAAAGAAATCTGTATTTATTCTGTAAAATTGGCAATCTCTTCACATCCTATTATCAGTGTGTGCTGTTACATTTAGTATGGAAGGAAACCCAAAGTCCCTGAGGGGAAATTAATTGTTCAATAAGGCTGGAGAACCGGAAACATAACTAATCCAGACATTACCCAACTACCTCCAACTACAACTTGACCGTCTCCCATTTATTTTAACCTGACCATCCCCAGTTTTCAAAGTTACATATTTAAATTGCTTAGAGTTCTGTTCGATATTATGCAAACGGTCTGCTTTCATAGCTGTAAACCCTAATGAAAAAGCATCTCAGCATAGGAATACAGAAACACTTCCTACCAGGCATCGTCTGTTATTGGAGAACCGTCTGACAAAACGATGTTTCCAAATACTGGCCTTTTGATCAGGTTGTGACCTTGCTCTATGGTGTGCTTTTCACCGTAGCGAGTGCTGGAGTGTGCTTATGTATGATACCTTAAATTTAAAGCACATTCTGACATATACATCGGAAATGTTTGTTTATGGATTTTGTATGATTTTATACATCAGTTTATTCTGCTATACCTACAGAAGACTGTACTCTATTCTGAAACCTGTAATGTGCTCTCATAGAATATGTACAATAACTTTTTATTAAAAGGGACACTATAGACACCATAACAACTTCAGCTTATTGTATAGTTCTGGTGAGTATAATCCATATTCATTCTCTTCGGGCTTTTTGCAGTAAACACTTTTTTGTTTCATAGAAAATGCAGTTTACAGTACAGCCTAGGAATACCTCCACTGGTCACTTCTCAGATGGTTGCTAGAGGTGCTTCCTGGGGCAGTGCTGCACAGTGTGACTGACATTCAGTGTCTCCACCCTCTGCATGGAAACACTGAACCTTCCTCATAGAGAGGCATTTATTCAATGCCTCTCTATGAGGAGATGCTGATTGGCCAGGGCTGTGTTTGGCTTGTGCTGGCTCTGCCCCTGATCTGCCTCCTTGACAAACTCAGCCAATCCAATGTACACCAGTACACCACTTCTGATGATGTCAGCCAAGCAGGCAGGTCTGGGGGAGAACAGGCATCAGCGGACTGGAATAAAAGTCAGATTTTATTATATTTACGGAAGACCAGAGGAGGCATATATGTTTGTATTCCTGACCCTATGGTGTTCTTTTAAGGAAATTAGTTTATGCCCACATTGATCACGGTGGTGACATTCTGTACGTGTGGCTGGAGATACAGGGTATCTGTAAGTACTGTCTCTTACAGGTGCAATGTTCCCTAACTTTGCAATGGTATTTGGTGCTATCGTTTATTAAAGCTTATTTACTGAATTCAGTCATAGGTGACCACTTCTTTAATTGGTTTCGTTATCATTTCTCAGAAATAAGAATGTAATGCTAGCATTGCTCTCCACCCACTCAATGTCACATATGGGTTCTGTAGGGGTACACACATGTATATATATATAATTATATATATTATATTATAAAATATAACTAATAAATAAATAAAAAAATATAATTTTATTCTAACGTTAGAATGAAATTATATATGTATAAATAAAAATAATACAAAATAAATATCCAGATACAAAATGACATAAATAATTTCATAAATATACACGTAGACTTCAAATATATAAATATGTATATATTTAAATTCTACGTGCTTATTTATGTAATAATTTTACATAATTAAGTAGTTTTATTGATTGCAGTTTGAGGACCTGCCTGCTAACCCAGGCCGAATGTCCAGAGAATTTAATTTGCTAGCACTGTGTTTAACCTTGTAACTTTCTATTACACCCTAAAACCTGTACATGGGGGCTACGGTTTTACTTGGGAGACTTCGCTGAACACAAATATTAGTCTTTCAAAACAGTAAAACATATCACAGCGATGATATTGTCAGTGAAAGTGAATTTATTTTTGCATTTTTCACATACAAACGGCACTTTCACTGATTATATTATTGCTGTGATACATGTTCTGAAACACTAATATTTGTGTTCAGCGAATTCTCCCAAGTATAACAGTACCCCAAATGTAGAGGTTTTATAGTGTTTTTGAAAGTTAAAGGGTCAAATATAAAGCTCGATTTTACTTTTCTTTTCTTTTTTTTTTTCATTGAAATTTGTCATATTGGTTATGTTGCCTTTGAGAGCGTATGATAGCCCAGGAATGAGAATTACCCCCATGATGGCATACCATTTTCAAAAGAAGACAACCCAAGGTATTGCAAATGGGGTATGTTCAGCCTTTTTTAGTAGCCACAAACACTGGCCAAAGTTAGCGTTTCTTGCATTTTTAACACGCAAATAAATATAAATGCTAACTTTGGCCAGTGTTTGTGACTAAGTGGCTACTAAAAAAGACTGGACATACCCCATATTGAATACCCTGGGTTGTCTACTTTAAAAAAAATATGTACATGTGGGGTGTGATTCAGAGATTTATGACAGATAACGGTGTTACAATGTCACTATTGATACATTTAAAAAATATATATATTGAAACAGCAATTTATTACTTGTACTTATAGCCATATAACTTGCAGCAAAAAAGCACGTAAACACTGGGTGTTTTTAAACTCTGGACAAAATTTTGAATCTATTTAGCAGTTTTTTTTATTAGCTTTTGCAGATAAGTAAAAGATTTTTCAAGTAAAAGTCCAAAAACATGTATTTTTTTTCAATTTTTTCACCATATTTTATTTTTTTTAAAGTAAAATATGACATAATACAAATAATGGTATGTAAAGAAAGCCTTTCTTGTCCTGAAAAATACCAATATATAACCTGGATGGGAACGGTAAATGAGAGAGCGGAAAATTACAGCTAAACACAAACACCACAAAAGTGTTAAAACCGCTCTGGTCCTTAACGTACAACATCGCAAAAACAGGCCAATACTTAAGGGGTTAAAATTAATGCAGATACTAATCTTCTCAATCTATATGTATCATTATCTCTGACTCCTTGTAGCCAGGAGAGTGTGCAGCCCAAAAAGAGAGCAGTTAAGCAGCTGCCTTTAGTTTATTTTAAACACTGTCAAATATGTTCGGTCTACACCCTTTGCTTGCATTTCCCAATGAGTAAAGTCCAGGAGATGTCTCTGACAGGAAACAGATGGAAGAAAAATAAAATTTTTCCCTGTTTGAACCCGCTGCCAGCCAGTTGGTTCTCACATAAATATTTATCCACCAAATTCACCTGCTCACAAACGTAAACTTCTCTGCTAAATCGTTTGGCCCACACTCTTCTTAATGCTTCCGAGATGAGTCAAAGGATGGAAAATGGACAGTGTGGAGGCGTGGTTTAAATTAACAATATCACGTTAACACTTTTGGTGATTTGCAGTTCTGAAAAAAATTGGATTTCCCAAGGCGTGTTATCCTAACCCAGATTAAAGAAGCAGTAATGTCTAAATGTTAATATAGATACATTGTGATTGAACAGACATTCAGAGCACTCTAATAATGCTCATTGAATAGGTTATGGAGTGTCCTCAGAACTCCGCAATTTCCCTCTCTAGCACAATTCATTGTGCTGGAGTTGTTGATAATCTTATAGCAGTAATGGTGTGGCTGTTATTCACTTTTGCAACAGGTTTATTCACATTTTCTTTTGAGTGAACGGTGGTTAAGTATTTTACACACCTATCTTTCAGGTATGTGATATACCTACTAGGTGCTCTTTCTGACAATAATGGGAAACACCTGACAGATGGATGGACCCCCTTCCATCAATTGTAATGTAATAGGGTCTTTGATCAAAACTCCTTCTGAATGCCATCTGGTTTCAGAGATGCAATGCTTTTTTTTTTTCCATGTAAAATAAGTCATGAGTATTGAGAAGCCTGGCAGCACAAGAAATATTGCCACCTCACATGCCAGAGGAAGGAGCTTGGACCTCCCAACTCTTAAAATGCATTGCACCTTTATTCTGCAATACTTTATTCACCGTACATGCTTACTTTAGATCTCATTAACTGGCATCGGAGTATGTTATGTAAAACACTTGGACTCGTCTAATATCATGCCCTTCTCAAGGTTTGCAGAAACTTTCCAGCTTCCAAGCAAAGAAATGTTTACTTACGCCTCAAACACATACTCCTTTCCTACAACACCTCATCTCTGGAAACAACTTACATCACCAATTTAATAATATGAGGCTCACTCAATTTCACAAGGTAACTTCTAACCCTCTGTTATCAAGGGTTTGCATCACTCGCAACACCTCTTAACAGTATATAACAAGCTGTGGAAAAGGCCTTCAGATTTAATTCACCACAAGTGAATGAAAAAACACGGTATCCCATACTTATGGTACCTCAAACGGTTTGGCCAACTGGGCAGCCCAGATGGAACTACTCATGAGATGATAATTACTCCACAAAGACTCTCTCACATCTTTGCTAGAACCTCCTCACAATTGTTGGTCATGTAACCATAATATTTGCTTATTACATATTTTTTGGTCTTCTCCAGAACTCCAGAGAACTACATATTGAGTACTATAAGCAAATGTATTACATTACGACCACATATTATGAAAAGTTATGTGGCAAGCAAGAAACACTGGTGATAAATAAAGATAAGACGTATACTGGTGCAATAGACGAGAGTTACAAAAACAACATAAAAAAATAGCTTGGGTAATGCAAATAATCATCTCATTGCATAGCTCCTACGATATCTTTGTTAATTTTGAAAGGTTTTGGACAAGAGTACAGGCACCGTAGCATCCCAATCATTGTTAACAGGAGTAGTCTCAGAAGATTGGAAATTAGTGAATGTTGTCCCCATTTACAAGAAAGGTAGTAGGGAGGAGTCGGGCAACTATAGGCCAGTAAGCCTTACTTCAGTAGTGGGGAAAGTGATGGAAACCATGTTAAAGGATAGGATTGATGAACATCTAAAAACACATGGGTTTCAAGATCAGAAACAACATGGGTTTGTTCAAGGAGATCATGTCAAACTAATCTTATTGATTTATTTGATTGGGTAACTAAAATAATAGATCCAGGTGGTGCAGTAGCCATTGCTTACCTAGATTTCAGTAAGGCTTTTGACACTGTTGCACATAGAAGGCTTATCAATAAACTGCAATCTTTAAGTTTGGATTCCAATATTGTTGAATGGTTAAGGCAGAGGCTGAGTGACAGGCAACGGAGGGTTGTAGTCAATGGAGTATATTCAAAGCTTGGACTTGTCACCAGTGGGGTACTTCAGGGATCTGTACTTGGACCCATTCTCTTTAATATTTGTATTAGTGATATTGCAGAAGGTCTTGATGGTAAGATATGTCTTTTTGCTGATGATACTAAGATATGTAACAGGGTTGATGTTCCAGGAGGGATAAGCCAAATGGCAAATGATTTAGGTAAACTAGAAAAATGGTCAGAGTTGTGGCAGCTGACATTTAATGTGGATAAGTGCAAGATAATACATCTTGGACGTAAAAACCCAAGGGAAGTGTATAGCATATTTGATAGAATCCTAACCTCAACATCTGAGGAAAGGGATTTAGGGGTAATTATTTCAGATGACTTAAAGGTAGGCAGACAATGTAAAAGAGCAGCAGGAAATGCTAGCAGAATGCTTGGTTGTATAGGGAGAGGTATTAGCAGTAGAAAGAGGGAAGTAC